ATCGCGTCTTTGGATTAACCATGCAAAATCCAAATGTCAAAGTGAAATTAGAAATTATTCTCAGAAATCAACGAAACAACTCAAACTGAATTATTGTATCCAGTGTGATAATAATAATAATAATAATAATAGGTTTTATTTTCCCAACAGACACAAGGTCCATATACAGATAGAATCATACATTGATAACTAATGGCAAAAAAAATAGAAAAATAATTAAAACTAATAGTAATAATAATAATAATAAAAAAAAACATAAACATAATTTCCAATCTCATAACAACTAAACAAAATATACTATTAACATTGCATATAGTAGTCAAGTAATTGATCCTTAACCTTGCGTTTGCTCAAATCATCATGAAAAATGTCAATTTTATTTTGAATACAATTCCATAATTTGAAAGAAGTTAACATTGGCGAGTTGTAATGGTGAAAAGTGTTTGGGATGTTATAGAAGAAGGTAAGTGGCGATCTGCTTACAGCTCTAGGGACAACTATTTTTATTTGATTAAGTAAATATTCACTCCTAATTGAGCCATTAACTATTTTTTGAATGAACACTAAACTAGCCACATTTCTTCTACTCACCAAAGACCTTTCATTAACTAAATTAAGAAGCACATTTTGATTACAATGTAGAACTGGATATTGTCCGAACATTTTAAAAAATAAAAATTTGCAATATTTGCGTAAGACATTTTCAAGTAGTGTAACATACATTTGTTGTGCAGGACTCCATATACTACTCCAATATTCAAGTTTGGTCCTAACTAAGCTATTAAACAATAACCTGATGGAGAATATATTAGGAAAATCTGAACTGTTACGTATTATAAAACCTAACAATTTTAAAGCACCATTTGTAATATATTCAATGTGCGGTACAAATGATAATTTTGTATCAATGATAACACCTAGATCCCTAAATTGATTACAACATTCCAAAACATTACCATTTATATTGTAATTGTAATTAATTAGGTTTGTTTTCCTGGTTATCGACATAATCTTACATTTTGATTTATTAATGACAAGACAGTTAGTGAGCAATATTTAACAAAGGAGTCAATGTTTTCTTGCAAATCATAACAGTCAGACGATGAATTTATAAACTTAATGAGCTTCAAGTCATCAGCGTATACAAAAAATTTGGAGTTGATGTATTCACAAATGTCGTTAAAAAATATAATGAATAAAAGCAGTCCTAGATTTGATCCTTGCGCTACTCCACTATTACAACTAAATTCACGCGATTTGTAACCATTATATTCCACGTACTGGAATCTGTTGATAACCATGGCTTTTAACAATGAAACTAAGTTGGCACAAAAACCATATCTCTGCAGTTTTTTCAGTAGAATACAATGGTGGACTTTATCAAAAGCTTTAGTTAAATCGGTGTAAATCACTATGATGATTATTGTAGGACAAATTAAACGGAATAAATGCACAAATTGATCCATTCATTCGTCATAGTGCGCGACCCCGTCAAACGAGCCATCTCGAACTACACTCAGCCCGTATCCAAGAAGGCCGAGATGAAGACTTCGAGCAGCTGGTCTTCCTTAAAACCCCATCGGCAGCATCGTGACATGTCCTGGGAGCCCGTCAAACTAGGAATGTACTCGCGCTGTCTCACTCAGTAATCACTGAACGACTCAAATTGAATTATTTTATTCAATATGACGATTATTGTAGGTCAATTAAAACGAAATAAATGCACAAACTGCACAAAATATTTTATTAGGTTATGTTGCTGGTGACGGTCGAGTCTTTATTACTAAAATCTCATAACCTGAAGTAACTACAATAATACATATACAACTTTTTCTAAAAATTATAAACTTTGATTGAACCTTGAACCCATATAAGTTACTATAAAGATATGTAACGAGCGTTCAAATAAAAACAACGTCAAGTTCGCTTCGTAAATGTGAATTCAGGGCTTCGTGAATGATTCGTTCACATTTCTAAAGCCAACTTCACGTCGTTTTTATTTGAATGCTCGTTATGTAATGTTAAAGTAAATGTAAAGAAACGTGTTTGAAACGAGTTTTTCCTTAACAAAATTTTGTGATGACGTCATCGGCATTTTAGAACGGATACGTATATCACTTTGGATAGATACAGTGTAATAGTAATAATAACAGTACTGTATTCCCAAATTTTCGGGAAAATGAAGTGAGTCGTTCTTGATTTTAATCAATACAACAAACTTCCTCATTTATTAATTTTTTTGAGTCACCCTCTATATGTAATTCTAAACTCTATGATAAACCACAACTGTAGGGTCACAGATGACGTCGTCAATTCTTTGAAAGGTGATAAATAAATTGTGAATAACGATTTACCATTATTACGATACTTTACGTTTGCGAGTTTTTAGATCATTCGATTTTGCAATTTCAAAGTTAAATTATATACAATTTTGATTTTTTCTCCAAAAAATGTCTAGGGTAAAAACTCGGTACGGATTCGTAAACCACGTGTGCAAGAGCATCGTATTTTATAAAATTTAAGTAATATTTACTAATGTAAATTTTGGAGGTAGCGTCATTCTATTATTAGTAGGGGCGATCAGCCAAATTTTGATTAGCGGTTTACCATCTGCATGATAGTCCTAATACACGTATAAAATTTGTCAACACCCAGTCCAGTAGTTCTGTCTAATAAAAATCCGGACAGACAGCGGACGGACAGACACACAGACGGAAACGCGAGACTTACTTTTTCGTAATCTAGGAGTCATGGAAGGTCGAGAAAACATAAAGTAGCCAGTCGTCCAATGGGCTCGATTACAATACTTCCTTAACTTTCACTCAGGAAGTAAAAATATGAATACAGTATGATAAATCACAAGTACAGATTCATCATATTTTGGATTCATTAGGATTTATTGGGACAAAATTTTGAGCTGACCTCATCAATTTTTGGCGATAAAAATGTATATACCGATGGTTCAGAAAATAGAACAAACACCTAATTATTATCTTTGACACTTTGACGTCTTTATCAAATTAATCTCTGCGGTTCCTAAAAAAACGGTATTTGTTTTGCAAGATTTCGCGATTATAATTGTACTCTAATTGTTTGATTTTACAGTCGAAGTATCGTTAACATTATGAAAAAGATGTACGATAAATAATAAACAGCATCGTTCGGTTTTTCGGTGTTTATTTATCGACGGTAACACTGACTGTTTACATTTTACGTTGTATAGTATAGTTTTGGAAATTTCTTTCTACCCTATAAAATTTTATTGGCCATAATGAGGCAAACAGTAGCACAATAGCAAGAGATATTTACAACTTAAATTTGTGGCGTGCCGGTAATCCCCAAATGTTAGAAAGCAGAATAATCCAGGTCTGGACAGCGACCATCGTTACTCACGAACGAAAATGACCATGAGTACAACTACCTGCTAAATGTTCTACGACAAATTCGGATGCACTGGTGTGTCCATCTTGTTATTGTCAATAAAATTTTATAGGGTACAATGAAATTTCCAAAACTATAAATCTGTATCTGAGAAAATTATTTTATTTGAGCCCTATTTATTTTTGCCTATTTGCCTATTTTTGATCATAAGTTCCTTTTTTTTGCATTTTTCCACCTATATTACTTTTTTTGCCTATTTTGTTCTAAAATCGGAAATTTCTATACCCCTAAGCACATGTTTTTTGCGAAGCTGACATTTAATATTTCCGGTACTAGTATAAAGAAAGAAAATCCAACCCGAGTTTTGGGTAAAAGGTTCGAGGAAATTCCGTTGGCAAAATGCGGACAATTCAATAACCCAAATTTATTTTGCTGTGTAAACCATCGAAGAACAAATTTTATTGCACAGCTAAGTAAGTACATAGGTAAGATTTCAAAATAATTAAAACACCTATTTTCAGACACCGACACAAGTTATCCCTTGCTTTTCTAGGAAGGACTTTAATGTGTTAAATACACCAAGCCCTCCTCCAACTTTCTTTTCGAGTTCTCTTCCTGTATCAATTAGTTCGTGTTGGCTTTTCATAAAGTAAAGTTCAAAAGTGTAAAAGTGTTTTAAGAATTGTTTTTCATCTAGAATTTTGTGTATTTTTTTTAAATGCCGAAGGTCAAATCGTCTTTAAAGGACAAGTTAAGGGAATGGACGAAAAACAAAAACGTTTTTCATATAGAAAACGGTGAATTGTTCTGTAGATATAAAAATGTCCCAACAGACGAAAGAAAAAAATTTTGTGCCGAAAATTTAGTCATTTAAATTTTAACGAAAATTGGAATCGCTGATTATGTAAGATAATAGGTGTTTTTGTGCCCTATTTTAGTAACTATGTTGGCTTTTTTAGTCCAAAATCTGTTCTTTATTAATAAGCAAGGAAAACGACGTGATAATTTTTGTAGATATTTCGAAAACTAGTTATTTACTTCAAAAATTATATTTCTCTTTACAAACTTTATTGTTATTCACAAATTTACTCAAATGATGCACCCACCCTGTAGATCTCACAACCAGAAAAATCGAACCAATTACGTCTCAACGCCGCATCAAAAACATAATTGGCATCCCTGCTGGCAATCTTTCTCCTAACGACCAACCTAACGTAATACACATCACCTAAACGTTCCCATTAACATTTCAATTATTGTGCACGGCATAAGGGATAATGAAGAGAATTAACCTGGAACGATCGCATTCAGCCAGATAGATAGTCGAAGTAATTGATACTGTGCTCGGTGCGAGATACCAGTCCGGGAGTCCGGGGATTCCGGTTCGCCGCTCGAATCGCTGGTGTATTAGACGCGCACTGATATATGCCGGAGTGCCGGTGACATTTGAAATATAAGGATGACTCACAGAGGCATTTCATATGCCCGGAATCGGAAAAGTGCTTTAAAAGTCGGCATAAATTTCTTACGCGAAATCGATCGCCGTCAGAAAAAGCAAAATATTGAGAAGATATCGCCGGAGCGACTCGCATAAATCAAAAAGGTGATGTGCAACTCACGTTGTACTGGCCTGGACCGGGAGTCTCTTCAGGGCAGGCGAATCTAGGGCACACGTCGAAACTGTGGCCGGTGCAGTTCAGGCCCAGTTCGGTTTCGTAGCTTGTGGAGCCTGGAAGAGGCGGATTTGCATATTTTTGTAAAAAAAGGAAGAGGACGGAATTAACGTACAAGGAACGCCGACTTTTATTGCAGGAACGAGGCTTCGTGGACCGGTAGTGTTGAAAGGTATTCCACTGACGTTGAAGGACTTCCGTTGCTGGTTTTTCTTGAAACTCCGAGAAATGTTGTATTGGGCGGGCCCTATGACGTCCTGCCGGAAAAGAGATATTTATTAGGGCCGTATTTTATGAAAATGACGGGGCGCTGCGTTGGGAACTTTGCTGACAGAGATGATGTCTAGGTGCGAAGAGGAAATGGAAAAATATTTCATGTAGGTTACAGTGTGATTCTACCTACAGAAAAATCAATAATAATCATAACAGTTAACTATTTAGGTGAATTTGTTATTCTTTTTCACCACCCATTTGTATCCACTGTATAGTGCAAAAGTCTTTGTTTGATTTATTTTTACTTCGAAACTTCGATTTACATACGCCATTGAAGATGTTACGGAAGTTGATGAACCTGGATTAAAAGAAGGCCATTATGTTTAATCTAGATGAATCTCAAATTGATGTGGATGATTTTATAAAAACGAATGAGAATTTCAAAGATATTTCGTTTGTGGTTTTCTCCAAAAAAAATCCAAATTTTATGCTTAATAACGGTGGAGAAGTCGTCGGTTCGATTCCTTCATGGCCACTTTTTTCTCTTACACTGTGACTGGTATTATTTATTCTTTATTTCCCAAATGTAAGCTAAGAAAGTACTGTTTTAAGACCTACATTGTTATCAAATTTTTTGTGCATATTAAAAATGTCGTGTATTAAACCAAAATTTGTCTAATCATGCAACAATTTGATGGAGTCACCCAAGTTTGTTTAGAAATAACTTTTAGATTTCATAGAATAAAATACTTTTTCGTTTTCCTATATCTGTGGATTATGAATTGGCCTTATTTTTTACCTTTAACAAACTGATTTTTTGGAAAAAAATCAAAATTATAGAAAAGTTTACAATTTTTTTGTTTATCCATTCCAAAAAATTTTATGACGGGATCAGAAGATTTTGCTAATTTTTGTCGTCTTTTTTGACACAAATTTTTTGGTTGCATTTTTTCGTGGCCTTTCTTCAAGCGTAAGCTAGAGAAGCATTGCAATAGGGCTCATCGTGCGAACGGCTATTTTTATGTTTTCTAGACGTTTCATGACACTTATAAAATGATAAAAAAAATAGGTCTTCCATTTTTGTCTCTATGTGTGCCTATCTGTGTATCTGTCTGCCTCTGTCTATCTGTCTATGTCGATTTTACTGGACAAATAATCTCCGCAACTGCCGGGCTGATTGTGATCAAATTATATATATATATTTTAGGAATTTCGTATAGATGGTGAAATGCCAACCAAGATTTGTCTAATCATCCCCACCAACAATTTAATTACGTCACCTTGCATAGTAATTGTTGGTTAAATTTCCCAAACTAGATTTGTACTTCCATTTTTAATGTTATTTTTTTGGTACTTTATGCACTTACATTTTTTGTCCTCTTTTTTGTAGCAATTATTCTGCTCTTTTTTTGTAGCCTTTTTAACTCCCTTCTTTTGGTTGCATTCTTTTGTCGTGGTTTTTGAAGAGTTTGTTGTTGATGTTTTTGTCTTTTTTATCGTTTTCTCATTTTTTAAGAATTTTATGTCCTTTGTTTTATCATTTTTGGTACCATTTTTGAGGACTCTTTGTTTTTTTCCACGCTCATTTTTCGTTATTTTTTTTTTTGTGGTCATATTTATATCTCAATTCTGTATTATTTTTTGTGATTTTTTTTATAATCGACTACTTTTTGTCCATATCGCATTTTTGTAACTTTTCGTAGTCTTATTTTTTGTAGCGTTTTTCTCACACTTTTGTAGATTTTTGCAATAGTGTTTCAGGATTTTTTCCTCTGTTTTCATTTTTTGGTAATTTCAGTCCCTTACTTCCTTTTTTTTGCGTTTTTGTCGCTATTCGTAGTTTTCTATAGTTTTTTACTGTATTTTGTAGTTGCATTTTGTGTGAAGTTTTGTTGTTCTTTTGGGTCTCACTTTTGTAAACACTTTCTCTGTTTTCGTAGGTTTTTGGTGAACTTTGTGCCGCTCGTAGCATTTTTCTGTTTTTCTTTAGTAGTTTTTTTGTTGATGGAGATTTTTGTTGTTTTTTTATCCTTTTTTATTGCCTATTGTAGTCCCTTTTCTGTTGACTTTTTGCCACCTGTTTTGGTACCCCTTTTGTTGTTTTTTTTTTGAGTGGTCTTTTTTTGTTCTTTTTTGTGACCTTTTTTGTCACCACTTTTGAGTCACTTATTTTGGGCGCGTTTTTTTGTGTTTTCAATCCCCTTTTTTTAATCAGTATTTTTGTTGATGTTTTTTAACTAGCTTCTTGCCATTTTTTGCAATCGCCTTTTTTTGTCATTTTATAGTCGCGTTTTTTGATTACATTTTTTGTATAATTTTTGTCGCGTTTTTGGCTTTCTTGTCTAGTCATTTTTTGTTGCGGCCTTTTTCGCATCATTTTATTATTTTTTTGATCTGTTTTCGCATTTTTGTTTTTTTTTTAATTTTTTGTCGAGTTTTTCATTTTCTTTTTTGGGGTTTTTATATTGCTCTTTGTAGCCCTTTTTTGTCGTTTTTTGTCACTTTTTCCAATGGCCTTTTTTTCTCATTTTTTTAATGTTTTTTTTCTTCTTTGTTTTCGCGTTTTTGTTTAAATTGTTTGAGACTGTTTGTCCTTTTTTTCATTGTTCTTTTTTTTGTCGATTTTTTTGTGACGTTTTTTGAGTCTCTTTTGTTAACTGTTTTTTTGGCATATTTTTGTAGTCGCCGTATTTATGGGCATTTTTATCGCCTTTTTTTCGCTTTTTTTTTCACTTTTTTGGAGAGTTGTCTTTTTCGTTGCATTTTTTTGTGTTTTTTATGCCTTTTTTGTTTCCTTTTTAATGATTTTTTTTCGTCTATCTTTCATGTGCCTTTTTTACGTCTTCTTGACCTCTTTTTTATCGCCGTTGTTCTGTCATTTTGTGTAGTCGCATTTTTTTGGCATATTTTGTGGAAGTCTCTTTTTTTGTCGTTTTTTTGTCACTTTTTCTAATGGCCTTATTTTTTCTCGTTTTCGCATTTTTTGTCTCCATTTTTTTGAGACTGTTTGTCCTTTTTTCATTGTCTTTTATTTTGTTGATTTTTTTGTGACTTTTTTAGCATATTTTTGTATTCGCCGTTTTTACGGACTTCGCCTTTTTAAAGACCTTTTTCGCCTTTTTTTTCACTTTTTTGTAGTTGCCTTTTCTTTTGTTGTATTTTTTGTCTTTTTTACGCCTTTTTTGTAGCCGATTAAAAAGTCCTGTTTTCGTTTCCTTTTTTATAACTTTTTTTCACATTTTTTTCCTTCCTATCTTTCAGGTGCTTTTTTTTTGTTACGTTTTTTTGACCTCTTTTTTATCGCCTTTGTTCTATCACTTTGTGTAGTCGCATATTTTTTGGGATATCTTGTGGAATTCTCTCTTTTTTGTCACTTTTTCTAATGGCTCTTTTCCCATTTTTTATGAATTTTTTTTCTCCTTCGTTTTCGCATTTTTTGTCTCCATTTTTTTAAGACTGTTCTTTTTCCATTGTCTTTTATTTTGTAGATTTTTGACTCTCGGCTATTGAATTTTGTGTTACTTTTTTGGCGCATTTTCGTAGCCGACGTTTTTATTGACTTTTTTGTTGCCTTTTTAAAGACTTTTTTCGCCTTTTTTTTTCACTTTTTTGTAGAGTTGCCTTTTTTGTTGCATTTTTACTTCCCGAGTGTAAGCAAAGGAAGTATTGTAATCGAGTCCGTCGGCCGACTCTCTACTTTTACATTTTCTCGATCTTTCATGACCCCTAGAAGACGAAGAAATAGGTCTCCCGTTTCCGTCTGTCTGTCCGTCTGTCCGTCTGTTCGTCTCTCTGCGGTCCCGGATTTTTATTAGACAGATAATCTCCGAAAGTACTGCGCCGATTGTAATTTTGTATTTATATTAGGTATGTCATGTAGATGGTAAAACACTAACCAAAATTTGTCTAATCATCCCCACTACTAATGTGATGACGTCACTTCAAAATTGTACATAGTAAATGGGTCTTAAATTGTATAAAATAACATAGTCTTACACATGTAGTTTATGACTCCGAATTGAGATTTTACCGGAAACGTCCATATTTTTGGAAAAAAATCAAAATTGGGAAACAACATTTTGATATTTAATTTGAAATCTACAAAACCGAATGCTTTGAAATTTTGCAGATGGTTTACAGTTATGATAAGCATAATAAAATTTTAATCACAATATATTTAGTTATCCCAAAATTTTGCTGAATAAATCCTATCTAAAATGTACAAAATATGATGAGTCTCTTCTTGTGATTTATCAATCCATTCATATTTTTTTTATATGCATATCTAGGGTGACCCAAAAAAATTAATGTATGCGTGAATTTATTTTATTGATTTAATCAAAAACTATAAAACCGAATGCTTTGAAATCTAATAATTGGCATGCAGTCGTCACGTTTCCGACAGTACTGTCTAAACTCTTTAGACCAATTTTTTGGATTTGTACCTCTTTTTTGTAGCTGGTTAAAAAGTCCTGCTTTTGTTTCCTTTTTTATGATATTTTTTTCGCCTTTTTTGACTCCTATCTTTCAGGCGCTTTTTATGTTAGGGTTTTTTGACCGCTTTTGTTATGGCCTTTGTTTTGTCACTTTGTGTAGTCGCATTTTTGTTGTCATATTTTATGGAATTCTCTTTTTTTGCTGTCTTTCTTTGACGTTTTTACTAAAAAACTGATCACGAAATTTTATTACGAAAACTCACTTGAAACTGACTTCTATAATTTTGCTTTAAATTTTAGGGATCAAATTTTATAATTTATTGAAGAAACTGGATTTATTCACTTGTCTGAGTGGTGTAGCGTAAGGTTCAGTCTTAAGCGGTTGGTTATTGTCAAACTTTACTAATGATGTTATGAACTGTTTTTCTTCAAATTACATATTACATGCCGAGGATTTGAAAATTTTAGGACCGTTGAAAGTAGAAAAGAATTTTTACAAACTGATTATTACCAGTGGTGTACTATATCGTATTTTCGATAGAAAACTGAAATTTAAGACACATGTTGAAACTATATGTGAGTAGAGTATGCTATCTTAGGTTTTAAATTATAAGTTGGAATGTTCGTTTATTTTTCATTAAATATTCGCAGCATGTTGAGTAAAATTGTTTATTATTAAAATACTTTGACTTTATTGCTTATTATCCTGTAATAATTACTAGAACACTACGCCATAACAAGGGTACAAGGAAATATCGGGAATGAAAATTTATCGCTGCCTTTAACTTCACTCAGCAATAAAATTTTACTGGATACAAAAATAACATTTTCAGATATCTTAACATCCTCAACCCCGCAACCTTTTCGCCATATGAATTAGTTGCTTGACGCCCCCATAAGCGCTTTATTCACAAAACTGCCGCCATTATGAAAATCATTTACTTAAATGCTAGTTTCATCAGCAGCTCCTGCGACTATCTTCGCTCTTCCCCACACTTTGCAACTTCTAAACGCGACAATTTTCCTGCGAGAAGGGGCGGAAAAGCGTTACCCGCGGGGGTGTAAATAACAAACAAGTAGCTAAGTGACGGTGTCGCTGCTAGTGTTGGCACAGAGAACCGCGTTAATTGAAATATATTGTCTAGGCACTGATTGTTCGGCGAGGCGCCGTTTTGATCGGGTGTTAGCATGACGTCGTTTGCTGTAAACCACTCGTCGTAGACAGGGTGAGGGATCTTCTGATTCATGTTCGTGGCTCTGGCGATTTGGGTCCTGTGACCGGCCCACGCTAATGGCGGTTTCGCACACGAATGTCGTCTTGTAAACAAGCGACATTCGTGGATCGGTTGTAGTCCGACAAGTTGGTATTAAAAGTTAAGTCGTTTGAAAAGTTCTGAGGTGACGTCATCACATTTTTGGTGGGGATGAGTACACGAATTTTGGTTAGGTTCGATTTTGTTCGTAAATCAACAATGATTCACACGTTGACATTCATCCACTTTGCTCTTTTGTTCGTCCAATCACTGTCTTACAACTAAACCAAGTCGTTCTCTTGTTGGACACTCCACCATAAATCTGCCTCGCTTCATTGAATCCCAGAGATTTTTATTCCACCGCACACGCACAACATTCCTCCTCATTTGCATTCTGCATAAATTTCATGTGGGTAATCGCCCCCATTAGACGGCGGTGTGTTTCGGTTAGTCGAAATCATTGCAACATCCCTTAATGAACTAACTCCGATATTTATGCGCGCGAGTGTATGTAACACCACTGACAGCTCTTTATGTGCACACAAACCCGTATTCTAAATTTCTATAGGATTACTTTTCTAATAACAAAAATAAAGTGGTCAAAAAATTTGGGCGAAACTTAACACTAAATAACAAAATTATGAATTAATTTTTACTTTCCCAATGTAAGTCTAAGAAAATATTGCAGTATTAACGGATACTTTCATGTTTTCTCGACGTTTCATGACTTCAAATGTATGAAAAAATAGGTCTTCTGTTTACCATCTATCTGTTGTCTGTGTCGATTTTTATCACACAGATAACCTCTGAAACTACCGAACCGATTGTTGTCAAATTTTATATGCATGTTACAAATATCGTGTAGATAATAAAACGTTAACCAAAATTTGTCTAATCGTCCCTACTAACGATTTGATGACATTACCTCAAAATTTTTACGATAAATACTGCTTCAATTTTATTACATAACATACTCATGTACTTGTGGTTTATGAATCCGCTTTGAGTTTTTCCCTATGGGATCAGGACTTTTAACAATAAAAGAAAATCAAAGAATTAAGATATCGTGTCAGTAAATTCTAACAAAATGGATGTTGCTGGCTTTTCTAAAGAAGTACCGACAGAAATTACCGCAGCAGCTAATAATACGGCAGCAAGTTTATTTCCAGAGAAGTCAAGGAAGTTATACGAAGCAACGTACCAGTTTTGAGAATTGGTGTTCAAAAAAAAAAGTGAAGTTTTTTACGGACAATGTGATGCTGGTATATTTTAGCGAGAATATTCGATGATTAGATTTTGTATGCCCCTGACGACAACATTGACATTAGTCAATACAAGAAATTAGTATCTTTTTTGAAGAGAAATTCGGACGGGTTTCTGCAAGTACAAGCATATTTATCGGAAGCTGACGATAATGATCATTTGATGAGAAAGGTAAAGTATAAATTCTGTAATCCAAGATTTTAATATTTCTATGTTCTAGGTAGCGTTAATATTTGGAATTAGTGGAGCATGTCGAACAGATGAATTGACAAATTTGAGTGTAGATAACATTGAAGATGTAGGATCTTCTTTGATAATTACTCTTCCAAATACCAAGAATAAAAAATCCAGAACGTTTGTAGTTATAATTTACATCTGATTGGGAAAAATTAAACATACTTCAGTTTGTTCCTGAAAGCCTATATAATTATGAAATTATCTACCTCTAATTTTAACACCATTTTTGGCTACTTTCATGTTTTATCGATGTTTCATTAATTCATTATCCATAAAGAACAAAAAATGTGATCTCCCGTTTCGCCTGTCTGTCGTCTGTTGTATGTCGGTTGGTCGATTTTTATTAGACAGATTTTTTTTGCTATAGTAAATTTTATTTAAATTTTTTATATTTATATACTTCTGCCCTTGTGGTTTATGAATCCATGTTTAGTTTAATAATAATAATAAAATTGATTGTCTATAAATCATCTACAAATAATCGCAACGAACAGTTTTATTGGAAGTGCATTGAATCAATAATAAAGATTATAAAGATGAGGGGGCCCAATAGGCTGCTCTGGGGTACTCCGGTGTTAATGGCTTGTTTATCAGATTGTTAGTGATTATAATTGTAACTAATTTTTACAACCTGTTGTCGTCCTATTAAGTAATTTTTAAGCGTTATAAAGGTACTCCTACTACATACATATTTTCTTTTTATCATCTAAAGAATTTAAAACTTCTATTAATTTTGATACAATAGCATCCTGTGTTCAAATCAAACTGTTTGTCACATAGTATATTGTGCCTTTCTATGAAAAAATCTACGATAAAAAGCTTTTGAATTTTTTTTTTAAATTGGCAGCAAAACAACAGGTTTAGTTCATATGGGGAAATTCTCGTACTAAATGAAGTATGAATTCAATCTGTTAAGATAACAAACTGCGCATCAAAAGTTAGAGATATCGTAATTAATTTAATTTAAATCTACTCAATTGTTTCGAAAATTATCAAAAAACTAATGACAAACATGCATTTCATCCATATCCTTAACTTATGACTCGCACTTTAATATGATCATGATATGATAAGATAAATAATATGGTATTTCATCCAGTCCTGCAGATTTCTTATTAGCCAGAGACGAAATAGTGATATTATTATATTATATATCTCTGGTATTACAACAGGATCTAAAAACATTAAGAATGTATTATAAATGGAATATTTTGTGGTCTATTTGTATTACTAGTACGAGTAATTAAAGCTATTTTGCAATATTTAGCGAACTAGTTACATTTTCATTTTCATAGTTTTGTAATATGTATATCTGGTAAGTTATTTACTTTTTTATTTGGATGATGGGAGTTCATTAATTATTACTGAATCACTATTAGAATTTTAATTACTTACAATTTTGCTAAGAAAATTCCACTTTTTATCTTTGGCTTAACGTATTTTTAATTATCATAAAGAAATCACGAAGTTTTAGAGTTTGTACACACTTAATAACGTATTTTATTTTTTAGACTTGTACAGTATCTCTCAAAAAATGAATTAATTAGCAGCTTATATTACCGTTTAAATCCGTCTGTATTGAAGAATAAGAGTTCGAGTAAGTATGTAAAAGAATTTATAAATCATAACATATTGTAGATTAACGATAACACAGATAATGGAACATCAAATAAGCAGTAGTTTTGAACAATAAGTTGTTTAATATGGCGAAATAATAATAACTGATAATTTTTAAAGCAATACGATTGCATGCTTAAAACACTTTTACTTAAGGATATTCTACCATTAGATGTAATAGGGGACCCAATATGCTACCCTGGGGTACTCCGGTGTTACCACCGATTCACTACGTATCGACAAGTTTGCAGTTTTGATATAATCAATTTTTCACTACAAGACAAAAATGTGCGTTGAAATAAACGGGAGCAAGAAAAACTTTGTCAGTGAACATATGACGCCATTTATTGAATGACCTTTAAAACAATATTTAATTTAATAATCATGGACTAAAAATTTAATTGTAGCACAGAAGTCTCATGTAGTTTCTTAAAATTAAATAAACATTTGTTTGCCATGTTTACATTAACACATTAACAATAAAAATAGCTCACTAATTCGGTTAGTTTTCATCATCGGTATATTCCACTTCACAATCCGAGTGCATGGTAATATTTTGATTGTTGCCGCGAATATTAACTACCATTGTACGTTGGATGCGTACTCGTCGTACTCGTCGTTGTTGTGATGATTGCCACTGTTCTAGTTGTGCTGATTTTCCTTTCGGTACTGGTCGAAGTGCTTTTGACGTTGGTAGTTCTGACTTCTGAATATTTGCTTCAGCTTTATTAAATAAACTAAAAGCGATAGCTAGATTTTGGTTAGCGTTACTGTTATCCATTTTGAAACCCAACAGACTCAACGACATAGTCTATGTCAAATAGATACAACCCAAAATTTTCGTAATTATTGTAGGATGAATAACTGAAAAATCACAAGTATAAAAACGACGAGAAATCATAAAAACAACTAAAATTCTTACCTCCCTAAATATAATTACTACAACACAAAGGTAGTTCCAGCGCACATTGTTTTAAAGCTTGACCCGATGCAAACAACCTATTAATACTTTTAACTTAAAACCAACAAATAAGTACTTTAGAATTATCGGAGTCAGTATCACTAATCTGCGCTCACCTGCATCTGCGTGAAAAAGGGGCCACCTAATATTTTTCTGAGTATAGTGCTTCGCCGTTTTTACTAGGCTTATTTTTGATCTAGTTTCTTGACCAGCATATTAACTGGGTGCACCTTGAGCTTCAGAATGTACTTTTAGAGGAATGGGAAAACATCCAACAAGATTTTATTAAATCGACAATTAAATTCGCTCAGTTGGTGAAGCGTCGTCTTAATAAGGCGATAACTTAGAGGAGTTATCATAAAATTTCTCAAAATCGGAAGCTGAATTTGATGGATTCTACTTCAAGGACGAAAAAAAGTTGTGTCTAATAATCTTAATCCTTAGAATACCAAAAAAGGTCATCTCCGGTTTCCATCTGTCTGTCTGTCGTCTGTGTTGATTTTTAACAAACAAATAATCTCCTAAACTACTGGACCTATTCTAGTCAAATTTTGTATGTATATTAGGAATAAGGTAACTGAACTCAATATGGCCTAGTACCCAATATGGCCTATTGGCTTTTTCTCATACATTTCAAACAAAATGTGGTAGATCGCCACTGGGGTACATTCTGGAACGTTTTTATACCATTTAGGAGCAATCAGTAAAGTAATACACCGTTTTGTTTACTTACAATGGAATTATTTGTGAATTTCCACTTTTCGATCGACCTAGGTATTTGATTCATTGAATTTTCGATTTTTTGATTAGCCATTTTTAGATTTTCGATTTTTACGATTTATATTTTTCGATTTTCTGTTTTTTGCATTAGTGAATTTCAGTTTTTCCGATTTTTGATTTTGCGCATTTTTGATTAATCAAATTTTCAAAAAAGTTACCATGCTTACAAAAACTTCAAAACATCTACAATATTTCAAAGTATTCAGTTTTGCTATTCTTGATTTCTTCAATAAAATAAATTGAATCAGTCATTAACTTTTTTGAGACACCCTGTATAACCAAATCTAAAAAATATTAATGCAGTGATAAATCACAAGTATAAAACTCATCATATTTTATACATTTAAGATAAGATTTATTCTGCAAAAATTTTGAGGTGTCGTCAGAAATTTTTTAGAGGGGATAAGCAAATATGTTTTAATTAAAAATGTATCATGTTTATCATGATTTTAAAACATCTGCAAGATTTCAAAGTATTCGATTTTGCAAATTCAAAATTAAATTGCAAAATATTGTTATATAGTTTTGATTTTTTTTTCCAAAAATCTGGACGTTTCGGATAAAAACTCAACACGGAGTCATAAACTACATGTGTAGGACTATGTTACTGTATACAATTTAAAACCCATTTACTATGCATAAATTTGAAGTGACGTCATCACATTATTGGTGGGGATGATTAGACAAATTTAATAATTTTGCGACATTTATGAAAAAAATATCAGTTAACAAAAATGGCACGTGTTTATTATTATGCCAGTTACATGTCACTCAACGACAATGTCGTTTTTTTAAGAGTATTTTATTTGAAAAAGTGATGAAATTTTTGATACGGAACGATTGGTCGAAAGATGTTAGAAAGCAAAATAATTCATGTCCGGACCATCGTTACTCACGAACGAAAGTGACCATTATTTTATGGGAACAACTACCTGCTAAATCTTCTCCGACAAATTCGAGAGAACTGGTGTGAGCCATAAATATTTCTTACCAAATGTATATATAACTACTGTCCGTCCCGTTATTGTCAATAAAATTTTATAAAGTAAAATGTAAATTTCGTTGTAGTTTGAGCCTACCTACAAATGCTGCCCTTGAAGGATTTGGACCGCCTTCTTCGGTGAGGGCAGGCAAAAACGATCCGCCCATAGGCTCAAAACATAAAAACTTAATTTACCATTCTCATGATAACTTTAAAACATCTCCAAGATTTCAAAGCATTTGATTTTGCAGCTCCTGATTAAATCAATAAAATAAATTCAAGCATTCATTTTTTTTTCAGTTACTTACCCTGTATAAGCAAATCCAAAAAATATGAATGGAATAATAAATCACAAGTACAGACTCATTATACATATTTTAGACATTTTAGATAGGATTTATTTGGCAAAATTTTGAGCTCACGTCATCAATTTTTTTGGAGGCGATAGGCAAATATATTTTGATTAAAAATGTATTATGATTATTATAACTTTAAAACGTCTGCAGAATTTCAGAGCATTTGGTTTTTCAGATTCAAAATTAAACTGCAAAATGTCATTTTATAATTTTGGTTTTTTCCCAAAAATCTGGGCATTTCTTGAAAAAACTCAACACGGAGTCATAAATTATCTGTCTAATAAAAATCGGGAGGGCAGACAGACGGACAGAGAAACAGACAGATCGATAGACAGACGGAAACGGAGACCTATTTCTTCGTACTCTAGGGGTCACGAAAAGTCGAGAAAACGTAAAAATAAAGAGTCGGCCGATGGGCTCGATTACATTACTTCCCCCACTTACGCGCGGGAAGTAAAAACAAAAGTTAAAAAATATTTCAAATAAATAATCAGTACAATTAGCGATTAATTGTATAAAATTAATTAATTAATACGTACACTCTATGAACGAATTTCTAGTAACAACTTCATTACTAAGAATAAAAATTGGTCTAAAGAGTTTAGACAGTACTTCCCTCGCTGTCGGAAACTTGACGACTGCATGGCTATTGTGTTTTTTTCTCATTACATTTTTGTAGTGGGAATTTAAAAAAAATTGCGATGACGTCAACATTTTTGCAAGGACACGTATATCAGTTGGGATAGATGTAGTGTAATACTAAGAATAAAATTATTGTATTCCCAAATATTCGGGAAAATGAATTGGGTCGTTTTGAATATTGATTTTTTATAATCAATAAAATAACGAAACAATTTACTCACGTATACGGCAACTGAAAATCGTTTATGTATAAACATTCTTAATTTAAGATGACAAGCGTAACAGCATACGTGAGAGTCAAACTGTAAACAAAACGACCATCGGTTTTATTGCTTCGACTTCCGCTTATTATATAAAACATTGGGTTTTATTTTAATTCTTGACGGTGAAATTCACAATTGGTTGATTATAAACATGTCTATTTCACATTCCCGGAACCAAGTGATCGCATAAAACAAATGCAGGTCTGTAATGTTAAAGTCGATGTAAATAAGCGTGCTACCCTTATGTTTCAACCGAGTTTTTCCTTTAACAAATTTTGTGTCTACCAAATTGGGTTGGTTGAGGTGTAATACTAATAATAAGTGTTGCCTTTAATTTAATCAATAAAATAAATTGACTTCATTAATTTTTTTGAACCACCTCTTAAGAAAATCTAAAAAATATGAATGGAATGATACATCACAAGTACAAACTCATCATATTTTTTGCATTTTAGATAGGATTTATTCAGCAAAATTTAAGGGTGACGTCATCAATTTTTTTAGGAGGGATGAACAAATACATTTTGAACAAAAGTTTACCATGCTTATAATAACTTTAAAATATTCCCAAGATTTCAAAGCATTCGGTTTTGTAATTCCTAATTAAATCGATAAAATAAATTCACGCCTTCATTAATTTTTTTGAGTCACCCTGCATATGCAAATCAAATCAAAAATATGAATGGAATGATAAATCACAAGTACAGACTCATCATATTTTGTACATTTTAGATACGATTTATTCGGCAAACTTTTGAGCTGACGTCATCAATTTTTTGTAGAAGATAACCAAATATATTTTGACTAAAAATTTATTATGCTCTTTATAACCTTAAAACATCTGCAAAATTTCAAAGCATTCGGTTTTGTAGTTCCTGATTAAATCAATAAAATAAATTTACGCATTCATTAATTTTTTTGAGTCACCCTGTATATGCAAATCGAAAAAATTTGAATGGAATGATAAATCACAAGAAGAGACTCACCATATTTTGTACATTTTAGACAGGATTTATTCAGCAAAATTTTGTGGTGACGTCATAAATTTTTTAGGGGGGACGACCAAATACATTTTGATCAAAAATTTACTATGCTTATGATAATTTTAAAATATCTTCAAGATTTCGAAGCATTCGGTTTTGTAGTTCCTGAGTAAATCAGTAAAATAAATTTACGCTTTAATTTATTTTCTTGAATCACCCTGTATATGCAAATCCAAAAAATACGAATGGAGTGATAGATCACAAGTACAGACTGATCATATTTTGTACATTTTAGATATGATTTATTCGGCAAATTTTCGAGCTGACGTCATCAAGTTTTTGGAGGGGATAAGCAAATATATTTCGACTAAACATTTATTATGCTCTTTATAACCTTAAAACATCTGCAAGATGTCAGAGCATTCCGTTTTGTAGTTCCTGATTAAATCAATAAAATATATTTACGCAATCATTAATTTTTTGAGTCACTCTGTATATGCAAACCAAAAAATATGAATGGAGTGATAAATGACAAGTACAGACTCATCATATTTTGTACATTTTAGATATGATTTATTCGGCAAACTTTCGAGCTGACGTCATCAAGTTTTTGGAGGGGATAAGCAAATATATTTTGACTAAACATTTATTATGCTCTTTATGACCTTAAAACATCTGCAAAATTTCAGAGCATTCGGTTTTGTAGTTCCTGGTTAAATCAATAAAATATATTTACGCATTCATTAATTTTTTTGAGTCACCCTGTATATGCAAATCCAAAAAATATGAATGGAGTGATAGATCACAAGTACAGACTCATCATATTTTGTACATTTTAGATATGATTTATTCCACAAACTTTTGAGCTGACGTCATCAAGTTTTTGGAGGGGATAAGCAAATATTTTTTGACTAAAAATTTATGATGCTCTTTATAGCCTTAAAACATCTGCAACATTTCAAAGCATTCTGGTTAGCAGATTAAAAATAAATTTCAAAATGTTGTTTTATAATTTTGATTTTTTTTCCAAAAATCTGGACGTTTCGGGTGAAAAGTCGATTCAGAGTTGTAAACTACATGTGTAGGACTATGTTATTTTATACAATTGAAAACCCATTTACTATGTACAATTTTGAAGTGACGTCATCGCATTAGTGGTGGGGATGATTAGACAAATTTTGGTTAGCGTTTTACCATCTACATGATATTCTTAATATAAGTACAAAATTTCACAACAATCGGTCGAGTACTTTCGGAGATTGTTTTCGGGACAACAGACGGACAGACGGACAGACGGACAGACAGACGGAAATGGGAGACCTATTTCTTCGTCTTCTAGGGGTCATGAAAGATCGAGAAAACGTAAAAGTAGAGAGTCGGCCGACGGACTCGATTACAATACTTCCTTTGCTTACGCTCACAAGTAAAAATTAGACAGAGTAATACATTTGTGACAAAATTATTTAATCGTAAAGAACTGCAACAAAAAAAGAATCTTTAAATTAATCACTGAATTAGATCTTAAAAGCTATAGAATTTCAGTACATGGAAGTACGGGATATTATATTTATTTATTTAGTGACAACCATAATTTGACAACACACAGTGGAACTGGTGAGTCTTACAAAAAATATTTTCACTTTTCAAAAATTGACGTAGAAATTTTACTACACATTTCTCAGGCTCTGGTTGTACCAAGCCTAGGAAGAAGCATAGTATTCTGTACGTTTTTTACTTCCCCAGCATATAATCCAAGAAAGTATTGTAGATAATACGATCCATCAGGCGAATAGCAACGTTCATGTTTTTTCAACGTTTCATGACTCCTAGACTACGAAAATGTAGGTCTTCTATCTGTCATCTGTCATCTGTCATTATTTACTAGACAACAAATCTCCGAAACTGCTGGATCGATTATTGTCAAATTTTATATGTGTATGTTGAAACATCGTGCAGATAGTAAAACGCTAACCAATATGTATCCAACAATTCCCACCAACAATTTAATGACGCCATCTCAAAATTTTGCATGGTAAATTCTATTTAAATTTTATACAATAACATACTCCGGTGCTTGAGGTTCATGAATCCGCGAGGGAAGTTCTGTCTAAATAATCTTAGACCATTTTTTAAATTTTTGCTCTACTTTTGAACTTCCAGCGGTCCTTAAATTATGAATGAAATTTTTTGCACAACTTAATTTTATTTTATTGTAGGTATATTGTTATACACAATTTTTTATTGTGCTTAAATCTGTGACAATCCCGTTAGCGCCAAAACAAAGTCGAAATTTATGCCCTCCACTGTTGCGCTGCCACCGACAGCGCTTTATAAACACATATTTACATTCTATAACCGACATGAAGTGTGCGTAAGCAGAGTCGCCTGTCCGTTTATTAAAGTTAACAGGACTTGATGACCTGTCATACGCATCTACGCTGGCCATCGCGTGTCTGCTTAGAAAAGTGTGCTTATTTGCCCATCGTTTTATTAACTTCGGTCAAACCAGACTAAATGCAATTAGCGTTTTGTTTAATCAACGTCGAAAGATGTGACGAGATGACTGTCATCAGCAATGATTGCTTGTCGACTCCATGATGGATGCACACGGGAAGACGACGGCGAGCCAATCTAAATAAACGCTGGCATCGGGTTTTAAATATTCCTTCTTTTATGGTAATAATCTTATAATGGTGGATTTATAACCGTGTTATTAGAGGTGGATTTCTAGGATCAACTTTTTCCAGATTCGACATGGGTGGGCTATTATCAGACCGAGGTAAGTCCGCCATAAAATATCTTCCACTTTAATAGGGGGCTTATAAATTACGGGATATTTGCTTTCAGATCGAATTTGATTATGGGGACAAATTAAAATCAAGCCAATCTCAGTTACCGGAAAAAGTGAAACTGAAGTAAATGCCGTTGTTTTTAGCTTGCGTCGTATTTTATTCAAAGCCTGACGAGGCCCTTCTTCTAATAACTGTCTACCTATTGCTACTAATTAACCATCCCAGCTGCAATTTTCCTAATCCGGCTCTATTTTTAGCCTTAAGTGAACATAAAGCCGACTCGACATTATCTCACCTACTTAAAAATACATCTTATTTTAAATTTAGAACACTCACACAATAAAACTCAAGAAAAATCGAACATGTTTTCAACTCGCAACTAATTAAGAAAAATTAAATCCGTCCATCCCACACCGTTAAAAACGCCAGAGGAACAACCCAAACGCCAATTTATCTAGCTCAAGTCAAATTTCCTGTCCGCACAAGTTGCGCCCCCTGCGACAAGGATTTCCACGTAATAACAACCTGATTAAGACGTATCGTTGTTTGTCTTTAAAGACTTAACGAGATGATGTAAAAATTAATAAGAACGGTGTTTCTTGACAACTAGAACACGATTTGTAAAGGCTTTAACGAGGCGATGCTTAAATTAATAAGAACACGATTTTTACGGCGATATTACCGTTTTCTCGCCGGAAGAGAAGCGACATACGGTGTTCATAAACACCGAAGATGATATTGGTTTGGTGTCGTCGTCGTCATCGGCGTCTTTTACTTCGGGGTAATCGGCAGCCGATGGCGTAAACTCTGCGTCTCTTGCGACGAAGCTCATCCCTCGCACCGATGTCGTATTGAAGGGAGGATCGCAAAAAGCGTACTTGTTTCTCTTCTGTCGCAGTTTTTCCTGGAGGGCGCCCTTGACTTCGTAACTAGCTGGGCCTAAAATTGGAAATATACGAAAATATAACAGGATTCTGTGTTTTATGGAGTGGGCTAGAACCCCCACTATCCAATTATTAACTCTCAATCACCTGGCGTGTGTTCCGCTTTTTTCCTTTGGAACCTCGACGCCGTAAACCCAAAGGGCGCACACCTGTGTGAAAAGAACTTCTTGTCCTTAACACAGGGACAGACGTTGTACCGAGTGGGCGCTGGCGAGTCCGAGGACTGCGGAGTGAACCTGGGGGCCCCTTTTAGGAACGGCCGGGGCTTGATGCTCTTCCCGTGCGTCGAGCAGTGGGTAAAGCAGTCGGCGGAGACGTCGTAGTGGCCAGGGCCGGGTCGGCTCTGAAGAGGATCAAAAATGAAAACACTCGAGAGCAGAACGTGGTTAATTATGTCACGTCGATTGTGGCGGAAGGGCACCTCTTGTTTTGAGAGGAGGAGATGGAGTTAATTTAAAGAGCGGAGAGGAAGTGCACGTTGTTAATCCAGACATGTGGGCGAGGAGGATATTTTCGTTTACTTAATTTGACTGTGAAATGCAATGTTGAGTAATGCGAATTGCCCGCGATGCGCTCTAAGTAGGGTAAATTATGACGTATCTGAGCAATTTAGCGTGGATTTTGTGATTGCTCATCACATTGGCGATGCTAATTGGTGGCGGCCAAGAGATGGAGGAGGTGGAAGAATGTCGTTTGGTGAGCGTCCAGAAAATGTAACGTGGAAAATATGTACAGTTTTCTGACTTTATTTTTTCTTTCTACGTTATTTCCTTCAGTTTTTAGACATATACCATAATACAGGATATTTCACAATAATAATGGTAGTAATCACGATTTCATCAATTTTACTTTTGTCCTCTACAGAAAATTCATCGTAGATTTTTGGCAGATTTGGAACTATTCCATGAACATCTTTTTTTGATGACGTTAAAAGTGAAATTTATAAATTGCGTTGCCAAGTTGCCGTTGATAGTAACTTTGATGTCCAACTTTTGCCGTATTTAAAGGGCTTGTAGAAGAAAAGTGGAAGATTTAAGTTGATTACTACAAAAATTTACCATTTTAGACATGTTTTAAGTTTCTTATTGTCGAAATAAGTCTGCACATACTAAGAAAAAAAAGGCAAAATGTAGCCCCGCCCACCCGCCCTTTCTCAATTGTGATGATTTTTTTTATTCGTCGTGAGCCAAGGGGATGGAGCTTAACTGAAAAACCTTAATCCTCTACAAGAAATTAAAAACATGTTTTTGAGTATCGTGTTGTTCAAAGAATACTATGTTATTAAGAAAAAAATAAAGTCAAAGATTAGGCCCCACCCATATCCATCCCACTCTCAATTCTCAATTGTTCTGAATTTTTAATTCATTGTCTAGGTGGCGCTTAGTTGCAAGTTCCATATTTGTCTACAAGAATTTACCATTCTAAACATGTTTTAAGTTTCTTGTTCTGAAAAGACGACTACGTACATTAAGAAAAAAGACAAAATATAAGCCCCGCCCACCCACCCCATCTCATTTGTGATGATTTTTTTTTATCGTCGAGAGCCAAAGGAGCGGAATTTAAATGCAAAATTCTTATTATTTCTCTACAAGAAATTACCATGCAAGACATTTTTTTAAGTATCGTGTTATTCACAGAATACTGTATATATTAAGAAAAAATTAAAGCCAAAGATTACCTGCCCTGATCCATCCTTATCTAAATAGTAATAAAGTTTTCATTCGTTGGCAGACCTATTAGGGGCGGAGCCTAATTGCAAAACCAGTATATTGAGATGTGTGGGCGGGGTCTATATTTTGCCTTTTTTTCTTAATATACCTAGTATTCTTTGAATAACACAAAAGTCAAAAGCATGTTTTTAATTTCTTGTAAAAAATAAGTATTTTGCAGTTAAGCTCCGCCCTCTTGGTTCACAGCGCATAAAAAAATAAGCACAATTGAGATAGGGCGGGTGGGCGGGCATATATTTTGCCTTTTTGTTTTATTATGTCTAGATTTCTTTTCACAACATAAAACTTAAAACATGTTTAAAATGGAAAATTTATATACGAAAATATCGATTTTGCAATAATTAGGGTCCGCCCCATCATTGCAAAATCCGTATTTTCTTGCAAAAACCATTTTAACCATGTTTCTTGTTATGAAAACATGGCTATGTATATTAAGAAAAAAAAAAGGCAAAATATAGGCCCCGCCCACCCACCCTGTCTCAATTCTGATGATTTTTTTTTAATCGTCGTGAGCCGAGGGGCGGAGCTTAATTGTAAAATCTTTATGTTTCTACGAAAAATTACCATGTGAAATATGTTCTTAAGCTATACAAAGAAACCTAAATGTGTTAATTAAAAAAGAAAACCAAAAGAGAAGCCCCACCTATCCGTCTCGATCTCAACCATGTTGAATTTTTCATTCTTTGCCAGACCGAGGGGCGGAGCGTAATTGCAAAATCGATATTTCCCTATACAAATTTACCATTTTAAACGTGTTTTAAGTTTCTTGTTGTCAGAATAAGTCTACACATACTAAGAAAAAAAAGGCAAAATGTAGCCCCGCCCACCCGCCCTATCTCAATTGTGATGATTTTTTTTTATTGGTCGTGAGCCAAGCGGACGGAGCTTAACTGCAAAATCCTCATTTCTCTACGACAGATTAAAAACATATTTTTGAGTATCGTGTTATACAAGGAATACTATGTGTATTAAGAACAAATTAAAGCCAAAGATTAAGCCCCACCCATACCTGCCCTGATCTAAATGGTAATGAAGTTTTCATTCGTTCGCAGACCTAGGGACGAAGCCTTATTGTAAAATCCATATTTTCTTACAAAAATTTACTTACAATTTTAAACGTGCTTCAAGTTTCTACCAATAATAAGGTCATCACATTTGAGTAGGGGTGGGCGGGGAGGATTTATATTTTGCCTTTTTTTCTTAATATACGTAGTATTCTTTGAATAACACGATACTCAAAGACATGTTTTTAATTTCTTGTAAAAAAATAAGTATTTTGCAGTTAAGCTCCGCCCTATTGGTTCACAGCAAATAAAAAAATTAACACAACTGAGATAGGGCCGGTGGGGGGCTTACATTTTGCCTTTTTGTTTTAATATGTGTAGACTTTTTTTCACAACATGAAACTTAAAACATGTTTAAAGAGGAAAATTTATACAAGAAAATATCGATTTCGCAATAATTAGGCCCCGCCCCATAATTGCAAAATCCCTATTTTCTTGCAAAAACCATTTTAACCATGTTTCTTAATATGAAAACATGGCTATGTATATTAAGAAAAAAAAAAAGCAAAATATACGCCCCGCCCACCCACCCTGTCTCAATTCTGATGATTTTTTTTTTAATCTTCGTAAGCCGAGGGGCGGAGCTTAACTGTAAAATCTTTATGTTTCTACGAGAAATTACCATGTAAAATATGTTCTTAAGTAATCGTGGTATAGAAAGAAACCTAAATCTGTTAATTAAAAAAGAAAACCAAAAGAGAAGCCCCACCCATCTGTCTCGATCTCAACCGTGATGAATTTTTCATTCGTTAGCAGATCGAGAGGAGGGGCTTAATTGCAAAACCCATATTTGTCTACAAGAATTTACCATTTTGAACATGTTTTAAATTTCTTGTTCTGAAAAGACGACTACGTATATTAAGAACAAAGGCAAAATATAAGCCCCGCCCACCCACCCTATCTCATTTGTGATGATTTTTTTAATCATCGAGAGCCAAAGGAGCGGAATTTAAATGCAAAATTCTTATTATTTCTCTACAAGAAATTACCATGCAAGATATTTTTTTGAGTATCGTGTTATGCACAGAATACTATATATATTAAGAAAAAATTAAAGTCAAAGATGTAACCCCACCCATACCTGCCCTGATCCATCCTGATCTAAATAGTAATAAAGTTTTCATTCGTTGGCAGACCTAGGGGCGGAGCCTAATTGCAAAATCCCTATTTCCTTACAATAATGTACCATTTTAAACGTGTTTTAAGTTTCTACGAATAAAAAAAACATCGCAATTGAGATGTGTGGGCGGGGTTTATATTTTGCCTTTTTTTCTAAATATACGTAGTATTCTTGGAATAACACAATACTCAAAAACATGTTTTTAATTTCTTGCAAAGAAATAAGTATTTTGCAATTTAAGCTCCGCCCTCTCGGTTCACAGCGCATAAAAAAATAAGCACAATTGAGATAGGGCGGGCGGGCGGGCATATATTTTGCCTTTTTGTTTTATTATGTCTAGATTTCTTTTCACAACATGAAACTTAAAACATGTTTAAAATGGAAAATTTATATAAGAAAATATCGATTTTGCAATAATTAGGCTCCGCCCCATAATTGCAAAATCCGTATTTTCTTGCAAAAACCATTTTAACCATGTTTCTTGTTATGAAACATGGCTATGTATATTAAGAAAAAAAAAAAAGGCAAAATATAAGCCCCGCCCACCCACCCTGTCTCAATTCTGAAGATTTTTTTTTAATCGTCGTAAGCCGAGGGGCGGAGTTTAATTGTAAAATCCTTATTTTTCTACGAGAAATTACCATGTGAAATATGTTCTTAAGTAATTGTGTTATACAAAGAAACCTAAATGTGTTAATTAAAAAAGAAAACCAAAAGAGAAGCCCCACCCATCTGTCTCGATCTCAACCGTGATGAATTTTTCATTCGTTGGCAGATCGAGAGGAGGGGCTTAATTGCAAAATCCATATTTGTCTACAAGAATTTACCATTTTGAACATGTTTTAAATTTCTTGTTCTGAAAAGACGACTAGGTATACTAAGAAAAAAGGCAAAATATAAGCCCCGCCCACCCGCCCTATCTCAATTGTGGTGATTTTTTTTAGTCATCGAAAGTCAAAGGAGTCGAATTTAATTGCAACATTTTTATTATTTCTCTAAAAGATATTGCCATGTAAGACATTTTTTTGAGTATCGGCTTATTCAAAGAATACTATGTATATTAAGAAAAAATTAAAGCCAAAGACTTTGCCCCACCTATATCTGCCCTGAGCCATCCTAATCTAAATAGGAATAAAGTTTTCATTCGTTGGCAGACCTAGGGGCGGAGCCTAATTGCAAAATCCATATTTCCTTACAACAGTTTACCATTTTAAACGTGTTTTAAGTTCCTACGAATAAAAAAAATCATCACAATTGAGATGGGGAGGGTGGGCGGGGTTTATATTTTGCCTTTGTTTCTTAATATATATGGTATTCTTTGAACAACACGATACTCAAAAACATATTTTTAATTTCTTGTAAAAAAATAAGTATTTTGCAGTTACCCTCTACCCCCTTGGTTCACGGTGAATAAAAAAAAATCATTACAATTGAGATAGGGCGGGTGGGCGGGCTTACATTTTGCCTTTTTGTTTTAATATGTGTAGACTTCTTTTCAGAACACAAAATTTAAAACATATTTAAAATGGAAAATTTGTATAGGGAAATATCGATTTTGCTATAAGCTTCGCCCCATAATTGCAAAATCCATATTTCTTTGCAAAAACCATTTTAACCATGTTTTAAGTTTCATATTACGAAAAGATGGCTATGTATATTAAGAAAAAAGGGCAAAATATAACCCCCGCCCACCCGCCCTATCTCAATTGTGATGATTTTTTTATTCGTCGTAAGCCAAAAGGAGGGAGCTTAATTGCAAAATCCTTATATCTCTACAATAAATAAAAAAACACGTTTTTGAGTATCGTGTTGTTCAAAGAATACTATGTCTATTAAGAAAAAAACAAGCCCAAAATTAAGCCCCACCCATATCCATTCGAAGCTCACTTGTGATGAAAATCGATACTTTCCTACAAAAATTTGCCATTTTTAAATATGTCCTACCTTTCTTGTTGTGAAAAGAAGACTATAAGGAATTCACGTTCGGTAGATGTAACTAGATTTGGTAACTTTTTTTTACTTCCCGAGCGTAAGCAAAGGAAGTATTGTAATCGAGTCCGTCTAAAGTCACTAGATCTACTATTACTTTTAGAAAGTACGGCAAACTGCCTGTGGTCGGAATTCGACAGAGAGGAACCTAACTTATGTGTTAAACAAAGATAGCGCGAGGCTAGTAATTTTCGCTATCTGTCAACGAAAGTTTGATGTGTTTACGATTTGAGGTTACGACAGACTGTACTAGAATTATTAAGTTAACGGACCGGAAAGAACACTATTCCAGTCTCAAAGTAACTCCAGCCCTATTCAACGAGAAAGTGTCACCGGTAACCAGCAAACAGTCGTGGAAGACGTGTTACCACCAAGGCAATTGACGGCCAAATGACAGTAACAGGATCGCCATACTGAAAGCAAAAAATACCTGCTGTCGAAAAGACGGAGCATAACAAGGACACAGATATATTTCTATTTCATAAAAGTTACTAATTGCCACACATTTCAAGATCGAGTCACATTAAGTCCGTCGGCCGACTCTCTACTTTTACGTTTTCTCGATCTTTCATGACCCCTAGAAGACGAAGAAATAGGTCTCCCATTTCCGTCTGTCTGTCCGTCTGTCCGTCTGTCCGTCTGTCCGTCCGTCTGTCCGTCTGTCCGTCTGTCCGTCCGTCTGTCCGTCTGTCCGTCCGTCTGTCCGTCTGTTGTCCCGGATTTTTATTAGACAGATAATCTCCGAAAGTACTCGACCGATTGTTGTGAAATTTTGTACTTATATTAAGAATGCTTTGAAATGTTGCAGATGTTTTAAGGCTATAAAGAGCATCATAAATCTTTAGTCAAAAAATATTTGCTTATCCCCTCCAAAAACTTGATGACGTCAGCTCAAAAGTTTGTGGAATAAATCATATCTAAAATGTACAAAATATGATGAGTCTGTACTTGTGATCTATCACTCCATTCATATTTTTTGGATTTGCATATACAGGGTGACTCAAAAAAATTAATGAATGCGTAAATTTATTTTACTGATTTACTCAGAAACTACAAAACCGAATGCTTTGAAATCTTGCAGATGTTTTAAGGTTCTAAAGAGCATAATAAATGTTTAGTCAAAATATATTTGCTTATCCCCTCCAAAAAATTGATGACGTCAGCTCGAAAGTTTGCCGAATAAATCCTATCTAAACTGTAAAAATATGATGAGTCTGTACTTGTAATTTATCACTCCATTCATATTTTTTGGATTTGCATATACAGGGTGACTCAAAAAAATTAATGAATGCGTAAATATATTTTATTGATTTAATCAGGTACTACAAAACCGAATGCTCTGAAATCTTGCAGATGTTTTAAGGTCATAAAGAGCATAATAAATGTCTAGTCAAAATATATTTGCTTATCCCCTCCAAAAACTTGATGACGTCAGCTCGAAAGTTTGCCGAATAAATCATATCTAAAATGTACAAAATATGATGAGTCTGTACTTGTCATTTATCACTCCATTTATATTTTTTGGATTTGCATATACAGAGTGACTCAAAAAAATTAATGAATGCGTAAATATATTTTATTGATTTAATCAGGAACTACAAAACCGAATTCTTTGAAATCCACTGCGAAAAAAAAACATAATAGGCATGCAGTCGTCACGTTTCCGACAGCGAGGGAAGTACTGTCTAAACTCTTTAGACCAATTTTTTTAAGCTGTGTAACTGCGGATATAATTGTTCTAGTGTATAATGTATTACTGGAATGTCAGAAAGTAGCTATCAAAAATGTGACATGTAAGTAAGTAAAGGTCAAATATCGAAAATGTGATGGTTTTGTGGTAATCTGGTGAATCTATTTTTGAACCAAGGAGAAAATCGCATCCCTCTAAAAGCCCAAAGAGCAACCCGCATGTAAAATTTTGAATCTTTTCCCTTCACTAGTTTTTTTAGGAGGACAAGCTTTGATGTCATCATCATGGATCCACAATTTCACCATGGATCCGTTCTGGTATATCCATGTCTCATTCAAGAAAATGAAAAGTAAATCTTCACCACAATCACGCAATTGGAGATAGGTACCGCCTTAGAAATTTGATTCTGGCAGCTATAACGTGTTTAAAATGTGAAAAACTTCGCCTTCGGAAACCTAAATTTATACGTGTATTATGTACAATTATTTTCAAAGCCAAGTGTTTTACCTCTTACAAAACAATAACGATTATATAAAACTTAAAAACCAATTGTAGAACGGAACCAACAAAGCATGTAGGTATATAAATCTGCGCAGTCGTCTTTCTGATTCTGATTATAATATTAACGGCACAAGCGCCGCTGTATCTGTATTATTTTAAAATTCGAAAAACACTCGACAACACTAGCGAACTTTACGGAGAATATTTCTGCCACCAGTTTAACTGTTTCCGTTTTACCCAATTTTTTGAAAACCACGAAATATTTCTTGTTTCTTTTCCTTTAAAATGAGCTTTCTCGTGATTACTTTTATGGAAACTGTTTCCACGCTGTATTTAAGGATTTTCTAGAAACGAAGCGTGTTCAAATTAGAAAAACTTCGTTTTTTTCCACACAATTCAGATTTGACATTTGAAATAGAAAATTAGACAGTTGATGCCAATCTTAAATTTCTAGTGATCTTAAGATTGCAACTTAACCACAGAAAAGTTTCTGTCAGTTACTTCTACCGAACGTGAATGCTTATTACACATATTAGAAAAAAAGGGCAAAATGTAACTATCTTTAACAATGCATAAGTACTGACAGAAAGCTACAGTGCAGAAAATGATGGCAACTTTTTAAAATATGAGAGTTTCGTTGAAGAGGTGATTAAATGGCTTAATATTAGTGGACCTCAAAATCTCTATCAAAATTTGATTTTCATGGAATTAGTGCTGTCAACCAGAAAAACGTCCCCCTTACTTCAGGGGATTTTCCTTCAAGTTGACAACATTGCACACTACCGCAATTTGATTGGTTGAAAACCCAACGTCAACGGCAACTTAACGGAAGTACTGTAAACAAGTCCATCAGCCGACTCCCTACTTTTACATTCGAGTTTCTCCCCGTTTCCGTCCGTCTGTCTGTCTGTCTGTCTGTCTGTCTGTCTGTCTGTCTGTCCGTCTGTCTATCGTCCCGATTTTTTTTTGTATGTTTCGGCAGAGTGATTCTTCTGTAAATATTCTCTGGTTGTGCGAGTGAATAGTGTTGTCTTCCAGTGGTACTTAGTACTCGGGGCGGACGGCCCCCACCGCCTCCCTTTACGCCGCCACTGACTAGCCCTCCGCTCAGAAACTGACGTGATGAAAACGTTTGCAGTGTTCCTGTCATCCCGTTCTCAACCTCTGAATTTCATCGAACAAAATTGCCTCATTATCATTAAGTCTGTTTCTATTGTTGGAAACAGCCACCGTCAACGATGACCTACCACATACAACCGTCACATTTATACGCCGCTTTCTTGGAATCGAAATCACTTGACTTCAGATAATGATTGTTTAAGATTTATCAAAGATGTTCTCGAACAACCCGTTCCTAATGATTTAATAAAGCCTGAAACACCATCTTATAAATTATAAGTGGAAGGTTTTTTCGACTTTTGTATAAGCAAACAAGATGTGGTAGGTATGCTCGTTTCAGAGTCAGCTGAAGGACTTAATTAAGGCGTTATTTGTGTAGCTGTTGCTTAAAACTATGTTGGACAAATAAAGGTATGACTGTTTTCATTAGAATAAAAAGAAAGCTAATATTGACCAATTCGAGCCAATTAAAACGGGAGCATATGGAAATTAATACAAACAGAAAAGTATGCTAGTTTTTTGGACTCACGTCCTTAGCAGTCTTCAACTCTTGAGCTTCCACGAATCTGGGTAGGAAAGTTAACAGTCGCGCCATCTCTCGGAAGCGCTCCTCCTCTTCGTCTCGTCGACACTTAGCACCCTGTAGCGTGTATGCCGCAGGTCCTGGTCCACAAGTTTGGTGCTTGTTTGACTCAAACCTACTCGAACTTCTGCAAGACCATCTCCAGCCCTTCTTACTACAAAAAGCACTCTATGGTTTCACGATTAATCGACCTGTTAAGTCGCGTCAGCGTTACCGGAATGTTAATTTCTTGGGGAATTGGTACATCTGGAGGCAATTTCACAAGTTTGTCGTCTACGATTTCGTACCCATTTTCGTCTGATTTCGACGGTATTGAGGGTGCCACCACCGATACAGAGTACGGTACAGCACAAGCATACAGTTTTGGTTTCGTAGGGTCCAATTTGAGCTTCTTCTTGCTACACTGGATGGGTTTAGCTTTGTACTGCGCAGGACCGGGGGTCAAATCAGTTTTGTAGACGAATCTGGGTGCTTTGTTACGTAAACTGGCACCACCCTACCACACTTTTATAAAAAAAATACCAATCTTGTATAGATGTTACTTACAGGAATTCTGTCTCTGAAATGTCTGGTGTCGTAAATCGCCTTCGTGAAACATTTTGTAATAAACGAGCTATATTTTTCTTCCGACGACAAAAAGGGGGCACAGTTTTCTACAAAAAAGAAAACAAGTTTGAAGGAAAATTCCTAATGTTTGGTTACGTACCTTTTGAAGTTCGAGGATTGCAAATTACGTAGGTGCTGGGGCCCACATTTTCTCCTGTTGATGATTTAACGATGGTTGTTCTGGATGCAACGTCATACATCTTTGGTCTTTGTATATAAGAAAAAAGACGATGTTTTGCAATGACAGAAACCACAAAATTGATTTTAGAGTCATGTGAAACAATATCGTAATTGTTGGCGCTGCGTTTCCATGGTGGATTTATACTCGGTTCAAAAAACAAAAAAAAAGGGAATGGCGCTTTCTTCGTACAACAACAACATGTCATTAAAGTGGTTTTTTACATATCAGAATACTACTATGTAACAATTATGATTAATACAGGTCATTTCTTGTACTTCAAAACAACTAAAGTGTGGTACCGTGGGAATCCAGAAATCTTCAGGTTCTACAACGTATTTAAAAAAAATTGAGTTATCCCACGTTCCAGAAAGGACGCATATTGACATAAAAATAAACATAAAAGTATAAACATTTGATAAAATTTGTTTATACATACATAATGTAAATATTCCTTATTTGCTAGAAGAGTTTTATCACAGATTAATTCAACTTAGAATTTTTAACCGAAGAGACGTAACTACCATAAAATGATTCTGAGTTATATTTTTTCTATTATTTTCTTTTCTCTATCACGTAAGTTCTGAAAGTTGTTAACACAAAATTTTATTTTCGCTTTGTTTTAGGGACAAATTTTCCATCAGCATTGGGAAAATTAAGTAAGTAAATTGAAAATATCTATATTTTTGGAAACGGATGTTCAAAATTTTGCATGAAAATTTCTAGTCACTGTGTTTTAACATAAATATAAAAATGGAAGGAAAATTTAGAAGTATACAGGGTGATCTGATTTACAAATTGTCAGATTATCTCTAAGTAAGCTTCCATTACTATTATTACTACTTATTATGGTATCAAAATAACGCTTACTTAAAGTAGACATTTTTAGGCTGCACTGTAAATGGACTAACCCATAATTACTTAGCAATAACTGATCCTGTATATGACACTGATTCAGAAACAACAATTCCTTACACGTATCACTTGCCTACCGAAAACGTTTCAGGTGAGCACAAAAGCTTTACTTATCTTAGAAATAAAGAGTTACAGTAAGATTTGTGTATTAACAAACTAAAACTGTAATTTTAGGTGTCCAAGCTTCTACATGGAACATCCGAGCATCCCTAGATCAAAATAAAAACTTGCTTATGAGCATATCCGCAATTAATGAAAAAGGTGTTCAAAGTCAAGGTAAAGATTACCATTTGAAATTTGTCTTGACTTTGCGATGTACAAATGGTTCCACTGTTTCAATGGTATGTTCCATAAAATTATGCTTCAACTTTTTTTCTCAATATTATAATTTAGAACACTGTTGTTCCGTTTGTGGATTCAAATAATCACCAGCCGTTCTTCAGCAAACCGAAATATGTTTACAACTTAATTTCGACGTATGAAGAGGACTTTAAACGGCAACTTGAATTAAATCCCATTGTTGCAACGGATTACGACGTTACAAACGGAGAATTGGTGTTTGATGTACAAGGCAATGAGTATTTTAAAGTTTTGTATGGAGGAGTTGTACCAGGAACGTTGAACAAAAAGCACTTTGCCCAGTTGGTTCCTAAATTTCCGGGAAAAATTATTACTAAAAAAGTAGAGGTTATAATGACAGTTACCGTAAGTATTGTGTTTTTAACCAGAACTACATGGATCCACTGTTACTTTTTTGTTAAAGGATATAGGAAATCCACCCAAGAGCAACACTTCAAAAGTAGTAATAAATCCTCCATCTCCACCAACACCTGCGTTTAAAAAACCATTTTATGTTGGTCATTTGTACAAGAATGGCACTTTTGAGATGTCAGAAAACCCAGAGTTAGAAGAAGGTGTCACATATTACCAAACAAGTGTCCAGATAGGTAACTTCTTGATATTAAGTTTTGTTGTAATCAACTAATAGGTACATAATCGTTATCATGAAAAAAATTAAGTTTGGGCAATCAAATTTCTTAGTTTATATAAAAAATGCTGACCTCATCGGAAAAAATCATACAGATATAACGGTTCAATTATTTTTTTTGTATAAATGTGGAAATACATATGTATTATAATATTCTTTTAAAAGAAGATTAAATAAAAATCTTGTACGGGAAGTTGCATGTGTTTCAGAAATATTCTTTCTAGCAGCAGTAGCAACAGTGTTTAAAAAGTATTTATATCTACTAAAAAATTGTCCACGTTAATTCAAATGCTTACCTATATAAACTTATATGCATTGTATATATACAAATTCTTCAAGTAGGTACATGCTTTTTTTCTTATAATATTTTTTAATTTCAGAAAGCTGTTCATACTATTGTAATTACTATGCAACAATATCTGAGGGACAAATTATAATAGTAAAAAATTGCAATATGGGAGACAGTTTTTACAGATTTAACTATCTTGCCTGTAGTTTGACAGCAAAGTATACCGATCCCATAACAAAATTATTTTCAACTGGAAATACCGCTCTAATTGTGGAACACCATCATAATTTGTAACATTTTCTGAATAAGGCAATAAAAATTAAAAATAAAATGTGTAAAAAATTGTTCTTGTTTTTAATAGTTTTTTAACTAGCCATTACCCAAAGTGTTAGTTAATGCGAAAATTAAATTAAATTATGCAACCAGATATACAAATGTATTCATATTCTAACAGACTTTAAATACCGACTACTTTCATTTTCATTACTGGTAAAAACACAAAACGCTTAAATTAATCCACATATATGTCATAATCTTGCTAATCTATTTTTGCAAACATGTGATGCACAAACTTTGGAAGATTACACCTTCTAACGGAAACTGTGCTTACTGATAAACTATGCATTTTGCGCGAACATCCTGGAAACACACTATATCAAAAAATTTGTTTTCACGTTAATCAAAAATACTATCATCAGAATAATTCAGCTTCCAAACACGGTGGTCCACGATGACGCAGAAGAACCTTATTTTTTTTAACTGCGGTATTCTACTCATAATGTTGATCAGCCTGCCAAGTGAGTACTGCGAACTCTGAATCATAAATTAAAATTTTATTTGGTGTTATTTTAGAGGCAAAGTTAGCACCACCACCGAAAAGATTGAGTACGTACCAAGTTGTCAATAGTTTCAAAATGAAAGCCATTATTTTTTAGACTGTACCATTAATGGCTTAACACACAATTACCTCGAAATAACTGATCCTGTATACGATGAAGACCCGGAAACCACGATCCCTTATACCTACAACTTGCATACTGAAAATGTCTCAGGTAAACCAAATTTTCGCTAATGGCTTTCACTGCGTAATAATTGTTTTCTAGGCATTACTTCGCCCCTGAATCTTCCCGTATCCATAGACCCCCAAGAAAATTTATTTATTACGATCAAGCAACTGGACGAGAAAACTACTCTCACTCAAAAATCCGGCTACCACTTTAATATTGCTCTTCGTCTACAATGCATTGATGGTGCTGTTGTTGAAATGGTAAGTTTTACATATAGTTATTAGTGAACAAGTTAAATAAACTGACTATTTTTTCTTTCAGAATACGGTTATTCCATTTATTGATTCCAATAATCACGAGCCTTTCTTTAGTAAACCGACGTACGTTTACGACTTAATTTCAACTCTTGAGTCGGACTTTAAGCGACTGCTTGACTTAAATTCTATTGTTGCTACGGACTACGACATTACTAATCGCGAATTGTTGTTCAGTGTACAAGAGAACGAATATTTTGACGTCGTATATGGCGGAATTGTGCCAGGAACGTTGAACAAACAACATTTGGCCCAACTGGTGCCCAAATTTCCTGGAAAAATTATTAGCAGTAAAATAGAAGTTGCTCTCACAGTAACGGTAAATACAGTTGGTTGACAACGCTGCAACAATGTGACAATTTTTTCACCAGGATACGGGAAATCCACCCAGAAGCAACACTGCAAAGCTGGTGATAAATCCTCCATCACCACCAAAACCAGTTTTTACCAAACCGTTTTATGTGGGGCATTTGTATAAAAATAACACTTTTGTGATGTCAGAAAACCTCCACCTACAAGAGGGTGCTAGTTATTATGAAACAAAGTTTTCGATTCAAGATTCATACGATGACGGTGTGTATATAAAATTTCAAAAACTATCAAAATTACATAATTTTTTTTTAAGGATGCTCCCGTTTCTTTGCTCATTTAGTCGAAGAAGAAATCATGGTAGCGTTCACATTTTATGGAAACGCGTTTCCCCATTTTTACGAACGCAACTATATTGTATGCCCTGTAGAAGCCACTTATACAGATCGTGTAACAAATTTAGTCTCATCCGGAACCACCATCCTCCTTGTTGAGTACCACCACGACTTATAAATTTTTGCGATACATATTTGAAAACACGCTTGTCAGAAATGTAATCTCTTAAATGTGCTTCTTATTATCGTTGTAAACTACACAAGGAAATAAATTTTCTGCTTGGCAATCTATTCAAATCATTTAATAAAGACCATCGTTGAGATGTAATTACGTAATTGCAAGCTGTCAGTATATTTTTTCTGGCCCTAGAACGTACCTCAATCCCACAACAATGTTGCTGTTTTACGTCCTCCTTATTAGTGCTGTAAAAAGTGAAGATTACGTTTGTGAAATAAACGCTTGCGAAGCGCTAGAACAGAGCAAAATGGACTTGCAAGAATATATCGACAGTTTAGAGGATAATAATAACAACAGTTATTTGTTAAAGTTAGAACGAAGACTACGGTCACTGGAACAACCAGGTACGTACCTTATTTGACACTGTAATCACTGATTTTTAAAAATTTTTCCCAGTTTGGAAAATACTAAAACTGAACGAACGCTGGCTGGAGTGTACCCAAGGACCTTGCAAGTGCAGACCTGAAACCAAAAGTTTGTCTTGTTGGCAACAAAATCTCCCAACTCTACCTGCAACTCAAATTTTACCACAGGATGTGATTTCCATGTAACGTTATCCCAAAAAACAAACAACTCAAAATGTAGAACCCCATTTTCAGAGATCTAGGTATCAACGGGCTTACAACCCTCCACAAAAACTCCTTTTTGAGTCTAACGCACCTCATAGAACTCGATCTTTTCGACAACGAGCTGGACCATTTACCAGATTCGATTTTTGATGATTTAGATAATTTACAATATTTGTAAGTGAATATGAAAGAAAACTTGATGTAAAACTCACGTTCCAGGCGACTTCACAAGAACCAAATTGAAGAAGTGGCGAACGACTTGTTGTTGAAACTGAGAAATTTACAGAGTTTTGATATATCAAACAACAGAATCAAGCAATTACCCCCTCAGTTATTTAAAGGAAACCCCAAATTAATTGTCTTGCACATATCACGAAACCTGGTTAAGATAGTTCCGCAAACGTTGTTTTCGAAGTTGGAGTTACTAGAAGATTTGGATTTTAGCAACAACAAAATCGAAAGGCTTCCGAAATTTTTGTTTACTGATTTGAAAAATTTGAAACGACTGCAGCTTGCCGAAAATAGAATTGATTATCTTCCGACAGGTAAAACTTCACTGGTGTTACATTCAAAATTGTTTAGAGTTTTAGGTTTGTTTGATTCGTTACCAAATCTTGAATACTTGAACTTCAGAAAGAACCACATTTCAAGTATATCTGATAAGTTGTTTAGTTCCTTACAAAGTCTGAAATCGTTGCAACTGACTTCAAACCACCTAAGAAGAGTAACACTCTTACCATCTACAATGTCTGCAAAATTTTTACAGCTGTGTTTGCATTTTAGATACAAACTAAAGATTTTGAGAATCTATTCAATCTGCAAGAGTTACACTTGGGTCAAAATTTTATATCAGAGCTTCCCGAAAACAGTTTCGAAACCAATATCAACTTGAAGAAGTTGTTTTTATTTTCAAACAACTTAGAAGAACTTGAAGAGAAAAGTTTCAATGGACTCGATAATCTAACATCTTTGTTAATCAGCAACAATATTCTAAAGACCATACATGCGGACATCTTCTCCTACACGCCAAATTTAGAAAAATTGTAAACTCCAGACTGGTTTAAAAACGAAAATTAAACGTTTCAATTTTAGAGATTTGGACAGCAACAAGTTTCATTTTCTGCCGTCGAAAAGTTTGGACTACCTCGACAATTTGGTTTCAATTAAACTTGCAAAAAATCCGTGGCACTGCGATTGCAGCATTCTTTATTTGGCTTTGTAGTCTTGGACGCTTAAAGAGTTCAAAATGTTAACGATGTTAAATTCTAGGTGGATAGATGAAAACAAAGGGAAAGTTTGGGATATTCAGCCTACTTGTCGAGGTCCTGAAGAGCTAGGAGGAGCTCTTTTAAAAGATTTGGGTTTCAATAGTCTGTGTGATGGTCAGTGGGCTAGTATGGTAAATTTGTCGCCCAGAATTCCAATTAGACAAGTTGGCATTCAGACGTCACCAACAACGAAGGATCCTGAACAATAAAAATTAGACATGTTATAGAAATTTGTATCCACTAGAGTAAATTTTTAAGAAAAACAGTAAAATATATAAGTTGAAATTCACTGTTCAGCTAATTTTCCTTCTGTAAAAATATTATGTGTTTTTCCTGTACCATCGCCAATGTACTAATTAAATCAAGTCATTTCTAAAGAACTGTCTCTAAGAGGCCATCAAGTGACAGTCATAACCTAAACAACTTAACGACCATAGTCTGAGTAACCTTACTGAAATCGAAATCTCTACACTGAATGACATTGAAAGGAGAAACAGACACCAAATGGAAATGAAATTCAAAAATGAGTTCTTCCTTAATAGATTATTAATTACGAGCAGTACTTTATCAACTTTGCTGAAGAAGTTCTAGATCAGGTATACACACTCTTCCCAGATCCTACTTAGTACCAATTTTGATTTAATAATGCTTACTCGAAAACTTGCACCAGTTAATATATAGCTTGGACTGTGGCTTTAAAGCACCCATAATTGGAATCAACTCCGATTTCCTACCACTTTTTGTTTATGATCAATTGGGTATTTCACATCTAGATTTTAGTACTTACAGCTACACTAACTTAGACAATGTGTCGTTTTTAATAACGTGATAAATTTTATTGGGACCCTAGTCAAAGTACCCCATAGTTTATACACTTTGTATACGCTGGACAAGAAAAGTAACTAATATTTTGGAAAGGATTACCCTTACATTGAAGATATCGTCTACAACGTCAGTTTGCTGAAAAAAATCATAGTTGAAGTAGCTGAAAATAACAAGTATATCATTTAAAGATCATTAATACCGTGGTAGAAGTTAATCCAAGACAAATCCAGTGATGGCTTAGAAAAAAATATTTGGTGGATAGAATATAAGCACAAAATATTTAAGAAGTGCCGCTATGTCTTGGGTATACTATTTTTTAATTTGGTTGGACTCTAGTTTCGAAAACGTTCTAGATTATCTGTACAATATGTATCAATTATACTGGAATTTTAGAAAATCTAGTAACTAGTAATCAGTTTTCCACATTCTTCTTAGAAATGATTTGGTGACCACTGGTAGAAAGAATTCTAGAAAAACATAGTCAACCCTAACCCTTTTGTTTTAATTTCATGTAAACTAAGAGTATAAATAGTTTACACATTTATGAACATTTGAATTTTTTTTCAAATTTTGTCGCTATATATTTTGTGGGTGCATTCTATGCAAGAGAACACGTGACTTTAACATATAGCTTTTTAGAACGAGCTTTTTACATTAGCAAGAACAAAGAATCAGGAAAAAATTATCACTTTCAGCACACCGTGACGGCAAGCAGTTCGTGAATTGTGAAAAATGGAAATCATGTGTGACAGAAGTCCCTCAAAACCGCTGTATGTTTAAACAATGGTAGCAACCACATACTAATTTAATCAATTTCTAGATTCAACGAATGTCCATGGACTCGTATAGTCCATGATGACATTATTACCACCGTTAGTAAATCTGTGCTACAATGGCTCGAGGTCGTAATTGCAGTGGATAACGACCAAGAAGCAAACGCAGACCACATCGAGATGGTACAGGATGAATTTAAAAGGACGTGTGAAGGTTGTATTATCACAGCCCAAAATATATACGACAAATATATTGATTTAATGGGAAAATGTGTAACGAGAATAGAGGAGCTGGTATCCATATTAGGTGTGGATTTGTTCGAAGAAAACCAGAACAAAGACATGCCTCTAAGTAAAAACTACAATTGGTTGAAAACAAGATTGCAAGAGTAAGACCTTTTTCCATAATTTTCTTAATAGTCTTTGCGTATTACAGACTTGAAATCATATATGAAAAAAAACAAAAAGAAGCACGAGAACTGGAGGGCAAATATGAACTTTTGGCGAAGAAACTAGGGCGGTCTTTTAGAACTCTTCCAGATGTCATGTCCCTGCTATCGGAAGAAAAAATCAAGCAAACAGTAGAATCTTTAGAGCAAAGAGCCGTTCTTAAAGACAACGAATTTAAGACGAAAATAGCTGAAATTCGAAGCATCATTCAAGATTATGGTCTTCAGTTGGATGAAGCTCAAAAGGCTAAATTTCTGGAGTTGTCAGACGAATCATTCGGTATCACCAGCGAAGCAATTGACTCACTGAATGAAATTTACCAGTGTGTGGTGATCAAACAGCACGAAATTGAAACGCGCATTAATGGTTTGAAAGAACAACTAGAAAAATTATGGAATAGTCTTCATTTTTCAGCCAGCGAAAAAATATCTTTTCTACAATCAGCGGAAATACCGCAGAGGGAACTCGAGGAGCGTCTTTCTGACGAAATTGCAAGATTAGAAGCCTTCAGAGACCATAATCTGGAAAATTTAATCGAAGAATGTAAAGCAACGTTGACCGTTCTTTGGGACCAGTGTCACTGTGGCTCAAGCATACGGAATGATTTTCCAGAAATTTACACAAACGATTACAGTCAAGCGGTGCTTGATCATTTTAATGAAGAAATCAAGAAGTGGGAAGAGTTCTATGCCCAAAATTAGTAAAATTTTTATAAACTGTTAGTTGTTCCTACATTAACTCATTTTTTATTTATTTTTAGTGAAATTATTATTACGCTGAACACCTACAACAAAATTCTGAAAGAGGCAGAAGAACTGAGAATAAACAGAGATCCGAGGTCTTTTTATGCAAACAGAGGTGGCAAAATGGCGGAAGAGTTGAAAAAATTGGGGATTTTAAAAAGCCGCATCAACAAAACTGAAGAGAAACTCTTAAAATTGTCGAATTATTTTTCGCAGAAACACGGAGAGCCGTTTTTGAGTTTTGATCGAACTATTGAAGCTCTGATTAAGACCAACGTTAGTCTGAAGAAGGTATGTATTTAAAAAAAATATATAGACAATCATGTATCTTTTTATAGTATGTTACGAAAGATACAGTGGATTCTATAAAGGCACCAAGAACACCTCGATTATACACACCGAAAAGTTCTCCTTTCACACCAACCCCTCAGAAAGGTACCGGGAAAAAGAAAGCAATAACCCCACGCAGTCACCAAAAACGCTATTCAAAGAAAGGTTCTTTTTCTTTTTTTAATTTACGAGTACTGCAAATAATAGGAAGTATTTTAGAAATGCCCAAGTTCAGACTACTCGAAGCAAAAACAAATTCACCAAAGAAGTGTTGGAGGCCATCTGTGATGAGTTTAAAATCAGCCAAAGACTCGGATGATGAATCGTGGACGTCGGATTTTACTGATTTCGAGGTAACTATAAGGGGGACAAAATAGTCACCTGGTGTCATTTACCTAAGGCATCATTTTCAGAAAGAAATTAAAATAAAAAATATTCCACGGAGCTCGAGCATTTTGAAATGACAGGACATAACAGATGTTATTGTTTTACAAAATTTATGTTACTTTTCTATTTACGTTATGTCATTGAAATTTCGAACATATTTTTTAAAATGGAAATTAATTTTGTTAAATCTGGTTTACCAGCATATAGAATTTATGTTACTTTTAATAAATAACTTTTAGTAATTAGCATCTTTGTGTTTTATTTTTGAAAATTTTGCAGGAATCTTAGAAAGTCCTAACGTTTATTTTTCAAAACAATTGAAAATAAGCTCATGGTGTTTTGTTTTTGGAGGACAAATTTAGAAAAACTGTAAACTCCATATTGCTTTAAAAACCAAAATTAAACATTTCGATTTTAGAAATTTAGACAGCACATTTTCTTCCGTCCGTATTTTTAAGAAAAACAGTAAAATACGTAAGTTGAAATCCACTAGTCAGGCTACAGTTTTATTCGACCTACATATAAATTAAAAAAGGTCGATAACTCAAGTTTAGTTTTAAATGCAGTCATTTGCGTACTTATCAGACCATAACGAGCCTTAACTTTTATCAAGTTCGTTTTTAGTAACCGCATAAAGTAAACAGTTTACTTTCAGTGTTGAAAATGTTTACACGTATTGGTCGATTTAGAACTTATGGTGACGATATAATGAACCTTTCAGTGAAATCGATATTTCTGCTAGTTTTTGGTACAACTTTAATATCTAGTTCCCATTCTGCAAAAATATTATGTGTTTTTCCTGTACCATCGCCAAGTGTACTAACAGTGTATCAAGTTATTTCTAAAGAACTGTCTCTAAGAGGCCATCAAGTGACGGTCATAACTTCTAAACCACTTAACGACCATAGTTTAAGCAACCTTACTGAAATCGAAATCTCTACACTGAATGACATTGAAAGGAGAAACAGACCCCAAATGGAAATGATATTCAAAAATGAGTTCTTTCTTAACAGATTATTTTACTACGAGCAGTACTTTATCAACTTTGCTGAAGAAGTTCTAGACCACGTAGACTCACTCTTCCCGGATCCCAGTACCAATTTTGACTTACTAATACTCGAAAACTTCCACCAGTTAATATATAGCTTGGGATGTCGCTTCAAGGCACCCATAATTGGAATCAACTCTGATTTCATACCAGTTTTTGTTTATGATCAATTGGGTATTCCATCTGTAGATTTTAGTACTACAATCGACAATAATGTGTCGTTTTTTAATAACGTGATAAATTTTATTGGAACCCTAGTCAAAGTACCCCACAGTTTGTACACTTTGTATACGCTGGACAAGAAAAGTAAACGATATTTTGGAAAGGATTGCCCTAACATTGAAGATATCGTCTACAACGTCAGTTTGGTGTTAATGAATACAAATCCTGTGATCAATTCACAGCATTTAAGTGTTCCAAAACTTGTACCCATACTGCTAGATCTTAAACCAAATCAGGGCCTGTCTAACGTAAGTTTTTTATTTTATACCAACAGTAGTTTTGCTGTTTTTGTATGTACAGGATGTTCGAAGATATTTAGACGAAAGTACAAGAGGGATTGTTTATTTCAATTTAGGGACTAATTTGCATAGCACCATCATAGAAACTATTATGGCTAGCATATCACAATTACCATACGACGTGTTGTGGTTACTAGACCATGGTGCCGTACCCTACACACCCGAAAATTTGCTAATCAAAAAAACTCTAGTGCAACACCACGTTCTTCGTCACCCGAAAACTAAAGTCTTTGTCAGTCAAGGTGATCTTATATCAGTACAAGAAGCAGTTGCTAGTTCTGTACCTCTTGTTGGTATGCCTTTTGCTTTTGATCAGTTCGGAAATGTGAAAAAAATCGCTGACTTGGGTATTGCTCAAAGTATAGACTATGCAACTATGACAAAAGACGATTTGAAAGAAATCATAATTGAAGTAGCGGAAAATAACAAGTATATTAGTTAAAGAGCGCTAGTGCTGTGGTGATAATATCATTTTAGGTATAAAGAATCGATTACACATGTGAATAAGTTAATCCAAGACAAACCCAGTGGTGGCTTAGAAAAAAGTATTTGGTGGATAGAATACGTCATCAGGCATAAAGGCACGAAGTATTTAAGAAGTGAAACAGCTACAATGTCTTGGATGCAGTATTTTTTAATTTGGTTGGACTCTAGTTTCGAAAATGTTCTAGGTTGTCTGTACAACACGTATGAATATATGCATTTTTAGAAAATCTAATGACTATCAGTTTTCACGAGCCGATTTAGCTAATTTTTCTATTATCGGGCATGAATTGTGATTAATACGGCCCCTGAACTGCGACCGTTATTTAGGGAATTTTGTTGCTTTGTCACTACAAAATCCCTTAAAATTGGCTGTCACTTGTCATTTCTCACATTGTGTACAAACAAGTTGTGTTTTTGTTACAATTTTCACTATTGTTATTATTTAACAACATATAATTAATTAAGTGGTTCAATAATTAAACAGCGTAACAATGAATGACGAAGAATTCGACGGAGATGATGTCGGTGACGACTTCGACGACGACGTGGACGACGACAACATCGAGGAGCTCGAACAACCCGAAGAAGAGGGTGACAACATCGACATTTTAGCACACGGCCAAGCTGGAGGCGGCGTGCCCAAAAACAAACGCATAACCACCAAGTACATGACCAAGTATGAACGAGCAAGAGTCCTAGGAACACGGGCCCTCCAAATAGCCATGTGCGCCCCAGTTATGGTGGAGCTCGACGGAGAAACCGATCCCTTACAAATCGCGATGAAGGAACTCAAGCAGCGCAAAATCCCCATTATCATTAGGCGATATTTACCTGACCATTCTTACGAAGACTGGGGGATAGATGAACTTATTATAATTGACCACTAAATAAGACATTTTGTGATTGTAAGATATTTATTAAAGTACACTAGTTTCATAATTTTTGTGGATATTCTAAAGCTAAATATTTCAAGACTAAGCAAAAATCATCTCGTCGCGACGCCGCTTGGGTTGGTTCGGTCTGATCTGGCATTCCGGATGGTTCATTAACTCAGGTGGACAGGTGGAAACGGGTGACGACAGTAACATTTGCTTGAGGTCGTAGAATAGGGCTGAATCGTCGTTTGTGCAGAAGCTGATGGCCACACCACTCTTGCCAGCGCGACCAGTCCTACCAATACGATGGGTATAATCTGAAAATAAATGTATAAATGGAGGTGTTCAAGTCACACTAGTCACTATACCTTCAATAGTTTTAGCCATGTCATAATTAATAACCACTGAGACGTCCTTGATATCAATACCTCTACCAGCAACATCAGTAGCAACCAATATATCTTTAGCCCCTGATTTAAGACTAGCAAGGGCGTATTCTCTCTGCTCTTGTCCTTTACCACCATGAAGCGTACAAGCACTGTACCCCAATTTCTCCAAACCTTTAGCCAAAACGTCTGCCCCTTTTTTCTGATTGACGAAAATAATAACTGGAGGATCCACTCCTTTCGACAAATATTCCATTAATTTCTTCCTCTTGTCGTTCTCAGTCATAATATGCACAATCTGTTCAACTCTCTCAGTCGGTTTACCAATAGAACCAATGTAAACCACAGCAGGTCGTCTCAAGTATGTTCTAGCCAATCTTTCAACAGCCGGAGGCATAGTAGCTGTAAACATCACCGTCTGCCGATATTTCTTCTTACTGTTGTAATTCGCCAAAAGCACCTCTTTATCTTCAGCTTCTTCTGAATCAGGTTTCAAATTTGTAACAGGCATGTACTCCAAGATTTTCTGGACGTCTGCTTCAAACCCTAAATCTATCATTCGATCAGCTTCATCCATAACAATGTATGTACACTGATTTAAAACCAAGTAGCGATTTTCAAGGACATCGATAAGACGTCCAGGGGTAGCGATAACAATTTCACACCCCATTCGTAGTCTGAAACCTTGCTCTTCTCTGCTTAAACCACCCACAACAACCACGGTACGAATTCCAAGTGGTTGTCCAAACTTGACAGTTTCTTCTTCAATTTGTTGAGCGAGTTCTCGAGTGGGGGCTAAAATAATAGCGTACGGACCTTGATCGGCGTCCTCAGTACGCTCGATTTTAGGGAGGGATTGAATCCAGGATAGTAATGGAATAAGGAAGGCTAGAGTTTTACCAGAACCGGTTTCAGCAACACCAATAATATCCCTATTTTGCATTCCAATAGGGATAGCCTGTCTCTGAATTGGAGTCGGGTCCTTATAGCCAACTTTATCAATAATTTCGAGAAGTTCTTTTTGTATTCCTGATTCCTTCCAGCAGCGAATTGGTTCAGGAATTTTCCCACCTTTGATAGTGATGTTGTAATCCTCTCTAAATATACGCCAATCCCTTTCAGTCATCTCATTCACCTCTTTTTCAGACCAGTGCCGATCATCCCATAGTTGCTTCTCTTCTTTCCTCCTCACCTTCTTCAATCTGACTTTCTCTTGCGCTTTTTCCGCTTCCGTCCTGCGTTTTTCCAACAATTCGCCATAGAACTTGCTTTGATCCCGTTTCTGCGCTTTTATATCAATCCCGGCTAGATTCCCTCTCCCGAAAAATTGCACCTGATGTCTCTCCTTATACAAAGGATTGTAATCCTGTGACGTATCTTCCCCTGCATCCCAATCAAACACAAACTTCCTATCATTCAACCTCCTCACCCTCCTCTTCTTCTTAACCAACCCCAAATACCTCTCCTTAATAGCATCCGACTCCTTCTCTTTATCCTTATCCTTCTGCTTATCCTCCTCCTTCTCCCTATCCCGCGGTCGCCGAAACTCCCTATCCTCCTTCCTCTGCTCCTCCAACCTCGACGCCTGCACACTCTCAATAATCTTCCTCTCGGCGTCCTGCTGCTTCCTCAACCGATCCACCTCCTCCTGCCGCCGTTTCAAGGCCTCAGCGGCCCGTTGCTCCTTCGTCAGAAACACAGGCTTGCTTTTGGCGGCCTCTTCAGCTTTTTTCTTCGCTAGAAGTTCTTCCAAAGATAACGGTTCGCGTTTCGCGGCAGCCTCCTGTTTCAGGTCGCCCTTCGTTTCGTCCTTGGTCTCGGACTCCGGTGTTGGTGTTCGCTTGCGCGAATCTTTCGACTTCTTGTCTTTGTCGTCTTTGCGGTCGTCGCGCTTGTCTTTGTCGCGGTCGGATTTGGCGTACCTGTCGTATTTGCTGCTGGAGCTTTCATATTTGTCGCGGGAGCGAGAGCGGTAGCGTTTATGGGGGCGCTCTTTGCTGCGGGATCTGGAACGACGGCGTTTGTCTCTGTCTTTGTCGAGTCTGTCGCGGCTTCGAGAGCGGCGTTTCTTGTCGTTCACCATTGAAACGGTGAGTTAGTTGGGGGGTTTGTAATTGTATGGGGGCACTTTGTTTCACAACAATCGGTGAGGTTAGAAGTGATTGACGTTTTGTAACGACACAAGAGTTAGGGATTTTGGAGATTTGGATCAGGTGGTTGCATTGGTTGTCACTTGGCACAATTTGTATAGAGCGGCAATAATAAATCAGACCATGATATGTCGATGAATTCACAAAAAGTCTAAATAAGGGTTCTAACACTAACAAATTGGTCGAAAGTTGTTTCGACAGAACTTCCCTCGCTCTTGAAGTACAATGAAACACATCCAGCATTTTCCAGTTGAGTTTTTTCTTTACACAATTTTGTAACTCTGCGTATAGTAACGCAAAATTTACAATAGTTCTCCTCTCAAAGTGTTAAAAGAAAAAATAGGTCCCCGTTTCCGTCTGTCTGTCTGTCTGACTGTCTGTCGATCTGTTCGCCGCCTATGCCTACCTTATCATCTTACTAACAATGTGATGACGTCACTTCAAAATTCAACACAGTAAATGTGCTTTAAATTTTATAAAATAGCATACTCGTACGTGTAGTTTATGAATCCGTGTTGATTTTTTCCCCGAAACAACCAGATTTTATAAAACAAAAATCAAAAATGTATGACAAAATTTTACAATTTAATTTTGAAATTGCAAAACCGAATGCTCTACAATTTTGCAAACGTTTTAAGGTTATCATAAGCATGGTAAATCGTTAATATATTTATATTTTGCCTTTTTTCTTAATATACTTATAGTCGTTTTTGCAGAGCAAGAAACTTAAAACATGTTTAAAATGGTAAATTCTCGTAGACAAATATGGATGTTGCAATTAAGCCCCGCCCCTCGATCTGACAACGAATGAAAGTCATCACAATTGAGGATTAAGATCGGGGTGGATATGGGTGGGGCTTAATCTTTAGCTTTATTTTTCTTAATATACGTAGTATTCTTTGAACAACACAATACTCAAAAACATGTTTTTCATTTCTTTTAGAGAAATAAGGATTTTGCAGTTAAGCTCCGCCCGTTTGGCTAACGACGAATAAAAAAAAAATCATCACAATTGCGATAGGGTGGGTGGGCGGGGCTATATTTTGCCTTATAGAAATTTAGCCGCTTACCGTCACAATTGTTTTCGAGATACACTTTTTTGTATGCGATAAATAAATTTGTTGTTATAATTTAGTTTCTCAAAGATAACAGTGAATTAAAAAGTGTTATTTTCTGCAAAATTTGGATAATGTAAAATTGGTGGTTTTACTAAAGCATTTTTCTCTTATTCGTTCCTTATTTTTCTCAAAAGAATACGATAATGCTTCAAACATATTTCACTCCGTAGGTTCTTGTACAGAAATGGTAATTTGGTAACACCAAGAACTAATGCCATGAAGAACTCGCCAATGACTAGAATATCATATTTTGCTAACATCCACTATGATGATATATTTCATATTGCACACTAACTGTAAATTATTTTGTATGTATTTCACTCATATTAAGTCTTTTCACAATTTAATTAATTAATTCTTATTTTATTTTACATATATATTTTGTTAATTGCATTATACTATGCAGAATGTAGGTATTATACAATGTATTGTCCTGTAAATGGTGTACACTGTTGGGCAATAAATGCTATTATTATTATTATTATTATTATTATTATTATTATTAAATGTGGACTTTGCGGTTAAGCTCCACCCCTCGGTCTTACGACGAATAAAAAAATTCATCACAATTGAGATTGGGCGGGTGGGTGGGGCTTATCCATTTCACTGATAAAATACTTAAAATATTAAATGGTGAACTCGAGGTTAGAATTATGTTTTAAGTATTATGTTCTTGAAAGTAAACTGTATACATTAAGAAAGAGAAGCCAATGATTAAGCCCCACCCACCCGCCCTGTCTCAATTGTGATAAATTTTTCATTTATTGTCACTTCGAAGGGTGGAGCTTAATTACAAAATCCACATTTCTTTAGAAAAATTTACCATTTTCAAGATGTTTTAAGTTTCTTGTTGCGAAAAGATGACTATGTATATTAAGGAAAAAACTGGTCGAAAGTTGTTTCGACAGAACTTCCCTCGCACCTAAAGTATAGTCAATCAAGGATTTGTCTCAATCTCTTGCCACCCAGTGCAGATCCGGCTTCAGCTATATTTTGTATTTGTATCTACATTTTATTTTCAAATTTTATTATTAATAACTGCTATACTATACTTTTTTTGTAAACCTGTAATAGAAAATAGCTCACTTTTTTATCTAAAATATATTATACAGCGGGCCTTCACGTAATTTTTAAAAAGACATCAACCATTTTTCCAGCACAGTTAAGGTTTTATTTATTTCCAAAAGATGCACATAGATTTCAAAAACAGAAGAGTGTAAATGATAATACATTGTTATTATATGTCCAAATAATCGAGTATTTTGGACGAGTAACGAATTCTCCTGAATCCGCCTCTGCAATGGATGACAGGCACAGTCGAAAAGATTTACAATTGTGGTTTTCCTGATTAACCACTCTATTGTCAACTTCACAATACCCTAATTTTATAACAGCTGTACAACCTTGTGTTCGGCAAAATTTTGAGCTGACGTCATCATTTTTTGGAGGGGATAAGCAAATATATTTTAATTAAAAATGTATCATCCTTATCATAACTTAAAATAAAATTAAATTGCAAAATGTTGTTTTATAATTTTGGATTTTTTTTCAAAAATCTGAACGTTTCGAGTAAAAACTCAACACGGCGTCATAAACTACATGTGTAGGACCATTATTTTATACAACTAAAAACCCATTTACTACGTACAATTTTGAAGTGGCGTCATCACATTATTATGGGGATGATTAGATAAATTTTTGGTAAGCGTTTTACCATCTGCATGATATTCCAACAATCGGCCCAGTACTTTCGAAGATTATCTGTCTAATAAAAATTCAAGACGGCAGACAGATGGACAGATGGACAGACGGACCGACGGACAGACAGACAGACGGAAACGGGAGACATATTTCTTGGTTTACGCTCGGGAAGTAAAAAATTGTACCATAAATTTAATAAAACAAGGTTGGGTAGATTGGTGACTTTGGCAATTAATGCTTTAGCATAGCCACTATAAATTATGTATAAAAAAATCTTCCTTTGTGCTTTAATTTCGTATTATTTATACTTTTCAAGTGCTTTATAAATATCTAAATTATGATAAGATGGTACCAAAAACAAGCAACTACTTGCAGCAACATGTGTAAGTATTAAATTTTAATAAATAAAATCAATTAAATACGTCATAAGATAAGATAAAAAAAATCATACTTGTAACAGCAAGGTATATAAATAGTCGATTATTTGATAAAGTGCGAGAAGTAGTAAAGCAAAAATGAAACGAAAGAATAAGTCCCCAGACACCCAAAGCGATGCTAAGAAACGAAAAACTCAACAAATTGAGAACAAGAAAATGAAAAGGTAGAAATCTAATGCAATAATTTTATAATATCAGATATAGCAATAATTTATTAATGTCTATTTCAGGAAAAGGACAGAAAAATGGAAATTCTTAGAACACAAAGGACCTTTCTTCGTTCCAGAATACCAACCTTTACCGCCAAATCTCTTTTCCTACAGTAGCAAGAAAGTTAAACTTTCTCCGAAAAGCGAACAAGTGGCAACCCTGTACGCCAAAATGTTAAACACCAAATGCGTCGAAGAAAAAACCTTTCAGGAGAATTTTTTCAACGACTGGAGACAAGTCATGACACGAAATGAAAAAATGGCTATTAATGATTTAACTAAGTGCGATTTTTCTTTAATACAAGAGTATCTTCAAAACGAGAAGATAAATAAAAAAGATGCAAAAATTGACGATGAATACGGTTTCTGTAACATGGATGGCGAAAAAACTGAAGTTATCGGTTTCAAAATGCAAGGTCCTGGATTATTTGTGGGACGCGGGGGACATCCGAAAATGGGTACACTGAAAAAGGGAGTCAGACCTGAAGATATTACAATAAATTGTAGTGAAGATTCGAAGATTCCGGAGCCTCCAAAAGGACACAAATGGAAAAAAGTCGTCCATGACAAGACAGTTAGTTGGTTGGCTAAATGGTACGATGACGTTACTAATGGAGAAAGGTACATGCTGGCAAAATCAACTAACATTAAAAAAAAGAAACAAACACAAAATAAAGATCAAGCAAGAGTAACAAAAACACAAAAGAATCAACAAAAGTTTGACACAGCTCACACCCAAAAATGCAAAGTTGATCAACTGAACACCCAATGCATGTGGGATTTTAAACTCCCCATCTGTCAAAGTTAACCAAACGTCTGTAGCTCTATATTTAGTGCAACACTTCGGCTTCAGAATCGACGATAAAGTACAAGATCGGCCGGACGGTATAGGATGTTGCGCCTTTAGAGTTCAAGATGTTCAACTCCACAAAGAAAAAAACAACCGACAAAATGTAGTCGTTTTCACGTTATCAGGAAAAGTGTACAACGAAATATCCGTAGACGACGCAATATTTCGACATTTTCGACTTTTCCAAAACATGCTATCTCCCGAAGACAAACTCTTCGACCGTATAACACCCTCTGAACTAAGCAACTTTTTAAACTGCCACCCTTATCACCTTTCAGAAAAACAACTGAAAACAGTCCACGCATCTGTCGCTTTTGAAATACTGTTGAAACTTTTTCCACAGATGTTTCGCCACTTCAATTTGAAAAAACCGGACTGTCACCAGTGCGCAAACCTTGCAGTTGCCATTTTGTTCAATCATAGAAAAGATTTCACGAACCGAGATCCGGCAACACAGGAAAAATTTGCTAAAGTAAGGCATGATATTCATTTTCTTGTAAGTCAGGTTATCAAGACCAGAAACGCATATTACCATCAAAGCAACTTTCCAATAAAAAGTACAGGACTATTTGAAGATCTGCAAAGTATTTTGCAGTTAAATGACTATGATTTGACTATATCGATGTCTAAATATTTGGACCCTCGGATTACAATGGCTTGGTGTCTGAATAATAACGTTCCAATTGAGAAAGTGTTGACGAAAAAATTACAAGAAAAGTTTAGTTGGGCAAGGAAAAGAAGGTCCCAGTTCTTTGACTATTCTAATTTTCTGTTGAGGCCGTGCTGACTGTGTAAATCGTTTCTATAAGAAAAAAAATGCTAACATTATTTATGGATTTATGTAATGTCACTGACTGTGTATGTATAATTATTAATAAATCTGAAATTGGTAATTGTTTAGAAGCAAGGCAAACATGAAATCTTCATAGAAAAATTTAGTTTCTTCACTAATCTTACCTAAAATTGTCTCAAGAACTCAGATCTGACGGCGGCAAAGTCAAAAGTATGCGATTTTTATCAAATTCTTGATTTTTCGTGAAGCGAATCGGAGCGATTAAGAGGTTATAATATTTATTGGACATTATTAAGCATAAGAAACATTTGACTTACGAAACAAGGTCATTTATATCCAAATTGTGCTTTTAATTTTCTTAAGAACCACTAAAATATTAATCCCCATTAAAATATCAGATTAAAAAATATTCAAATAACAATCTTCAAATTTTGACAACGATCAACTATTAACACACTCATTGAAGTGAAGATAGCTCACTGTTCGTCATTTTTGTTTTATATCTTCGACTATGCTATGGAAAGACTGCCACTTTTCTTCACTAATGCCAATCAGATCAGACTAACAATAATTAACTACCGTGCAATAAAGTGATGTCTTTTTATTTTCGAAATATATTAAGGCAGGTTCAAGCAAAAAAAAATAGTCATTTCCAAGTTTGGAGATTGCGACGACTCTCGCGCGCATGCGAGAATCTACTCGACCAGCAGTTATACAAAAATCGCCAATTTACGAAAAACGAGATTTGCACGCAAACTTAACAGTAATATTTAATTATATTAACTATTTAACGTGAAACAATTTGTAATGAACTAACTTTTGAAATGTTCAAGCAAGTTCTGAAATGTGTATTCTGTCTCATATATTGTTACAGAGGTGTTCTGCATTAATTTTTTTTTTTTTTATATATATATAATAGGTAATAGTAGATTCCATTTTATACAAATGATACAAAAGTTTAATTGCCGTGTCGGATCGGATCACAATATAAAAATCTTCAAATTTCAAATGCATGCGATTCGACGCTATTCGACCCGATCTGACCTGATTTAATCGACTCGATCCGATCTGCTCCGATATGACCGCGCGGCGCGGATCAGGTCACATCACCTCATAAAATAATGATCTTCGAATACCAGCCGCGAATCTGATCGGGAGATAATGTAACAATCTTCGAAAGCACGCGATCCGAACTAATGTGACTCGATCCGATCCAATTCCACTCGATCCTATCCGATTCCATCCAATCCTAACTGGCCCAACCCGATGGGTTCATAATATACGTAACTATCTTCGAACGCGCCTGATCCGATCCGACTCGGTTCTATCCGATCGAGCTCGGTCTTATCCGATTTCACTCGATCCGTTCCAACTCGATCCAATCCGATCTGATTCGATCTTAACGATCCGCGCGCAACGCGGATTGGGTCAATTCGAGTCATAATGTAACAATTCTTCTATACACGCGATAAACAATCTAACCCGATTCGATCTGACTCCATCCTATCCGATTCGACTAGACCCCCTCCGATGTGATACGTGCAGATCGGGTTACATCGGCTCATAATATGAAAATGAATGCAAATGATCCGACTCGATCTGACCCACACCATCGGTGCGCGAAGATCAAATCGGATACGGTCGGGTCAGATCTCGTCCGATCGGATCGATTTGAGTCGTATAGCAATCATCACATGCATGAAATCGGATCGGGAAGGGTCAAATAGATTCGAATCAGGTTAGACCAGGTGCAGTCGATGAGTTTAAATGACTCCATCTGACTCCACTTGATCTGATTCGACCCGATCGGGCGCTCGGATCGGATCAGATCGGACAGAATCGGGTCAGATCAGATGCAGGTGATAAGTTAAATGACATTATCAGACATATCAGACACTATTCGACCCGATCCGATTCGCCAATCGGATCGGGTCGAATAGCGACTGATTGAATCTAGTTGGATCGGGTCACATCAGGTGCAGCAGAAGAGTTTTATAACCCGATGTGACCCTAATCGACGCGTAGGCTCGGGTCGGGTCGGCTCGGGTCAGATCGCGTCGGGTTGGGTCAGGTCAGGTCGGCGAAGGCTAGGGTCAGGTCCGGTCGGGTCAGTTCGTGTCGGGTCGGCTCGGCTCGGATCGGGCCAGGTCAGGTCAGGTCGGCTTGGCTTGGGTCAGGTCGTGTCGGTTTGGGTCAGGTCAGGTCAAGTCGACTCGGCTCGGGTCGGGTCGGGTCGGGTCAGGTCGGCTCGGCTTGGGTCAGGTCGGCTCGGCTTGGGTCAGGTCGGCTCGGCTTGGGTCAGGTCGCGTCGGGTCGGGTCGGGTCGGCTCGGGTCGGGTCGGGTCGGCTCTGGTCAGGTCGGGTCTAGTCGGATCGGGTCGGGTCGGGTCGGCTCGGGTCGGAGCGGGTCAGGTCGAGTCGGCACAAGTCGGGTCGGGTCAGGTCGGCTCGGCTTGGGTCAGGTCGGGTCGGGTCGGCTCGGGTGGGGTCGGCTCGGGTCAGGTCAGGTCGCGTCGTGTCGGGTCGGGTCGGGTCGGGTCGGCTCTGGTCAGGTCGGGTCGGCTCGGGTCGGCTCGGGTCGGGTCGGCGAGGGTCAGGTCGAGTCGGCACAAGTCGGGTCGGGTCAGGTCGGCTCGGCTTGGGTCAGGTCGGGTCAGGTCGCGTCGGGTCGGGTTTGGCTCGGGTCAGGTCGGGTCGGGTCGGGTCGGGTCGCCACAAGTCGGGTCGGGTCAGGTCGGCTCGGCTTGGGTCAGGTCGGGTCGGGTCGGTTCGTGTCGGCTCGGCTCGGCTCGGATCGGGTCAGGTCAGGTCAGGTCGGCTTGGCTTGGGTCAGGTTGTGTCGGTTTGGGTCAGGTCAGGTCAGGTCAAGTCCGCTCGGCTCGGCTCGGGTCGGGTCGGGTCAGGTCGGCTCGGCTTCGGTCAGGTCGGGTCAGGTCGCGTCGGGTCGGGTCGGCTCGGGTCAGGTCGGGTCGGGTCGGGTCGGGTCGGGTCGGCGCGGGTCAGGTCGAGTCGGCATAAGTCGGGTCGGGTCAGGTCGGCTCGGCTTGGGTCAGGTCGAGTCGGGTCGGTTCGTGTCGGGTCGGCTCGGCTCGGATCGGGTCAGGTCAGCTCAGGTCGGCTTGGCTTGGGTCAGGTCGCGTCGGTTTGGGTCGGGTCAGGTCAAGTCGGCTCGGGCCGGGTCGGTTCGGGTCGGGTCAGGTCGGCTCGGCTTGGCTCAGGTCGGGTCAGGTTGCGTCGGGTCGGCTCGGGTCGGGTCGGGTCGGGTCGGGTCGGCTCGGGTCGGATCGGGTCGGCTCGGGTCAGGTCGGGTCGGGTCGGGTCAGGTCGGCTCGGCTTGGACAATTGCGGAACCGTCTTAACATGTTGTGCGAGACCAGAAAATCAACAACGCGCCTCCGATCCTCGCAACGCACCGCAAGTTGTCGCAGCGAATTCGTACAACCCTCACACGCCATTATGAACAATTAATACAATTGACATATGTCATTAAAAGCCGCCACTTAGCTTCCGCAGGGGCAAATGATGGATTATGTCTTTGATGTAATTTTTATTATTATAAAAAAATTTAAAATTGAAAGCATTCCGAATTATTAGTGAATTATTTAAAAGATTCGCGGTCGTTTCCTTTACATTCGAAATTACAAAATGCACAAGTGTAGAAAATGTGACCGTCTGTCAGTAGCTCCACGTGGTTGAACTACCGCTAACTTCATTCAAAACAAAATCGGAGAAAATGACATTTGTGCATGTTTCTTACAGTTGTGATTATAGGTTATGTTTATAAAAAATACAAACAATATTAGTGGTATTACTCTATTTTAGAATATAATAACCGCTATAACGTGGAAATTTGTGGAAACAAAGTCGAGAATTCGTGGAAACGTTATTCGCAATGGTTCTAAAACGATTAATTCCGTGTCATATTGTGAAATAAATATTTTCGCCAATGATGTTCCGTGGCCCCGAAAACTACCTCCAACTTTTTAATGGTACATTTTTCCACTTCTCCGACACCGGAATTGAAATTATTGAAGGTTTCTGAGTAAGTTTAGTAAAAAATTTTCTTTGTTTCATGTATTTTTAGCGTTTGCCCCGCTTCTAAACTGTTACCCTGAAATTAAAAGTGTTGAGTTTCTGTAGTACATGGGAAACAATTGTTGGAGTTTGCAAGGGCACTAATTAAAGTTAATCCGGTCCTCAACCGAATTTCCATTTAGGGACATTCGTTGTTTCGTAGCAGTAAAACCCCTAGAATTTCAGTTATATATCTGTATCTGTCAACTGCCACACTGCTGTCAGTCAGTCTCATTTTGTTTACTTGACGGTGCTGATCACTTGTTCTAGAATATTCAGTAATTAAGTAGTTCGTGCTCACCCAACTTAAATAACCATGAATGACGAAGAATTCGATGGAGATGATGTCGGAGACGACTTCGACGACGATGTAGACGACGACAACATCGAGGAGCTCGAGCAACCAGAGGAAGAAGGTGATAACATTGATATCCTGGCGCACGGACAAGCTGGAGGCGGCGTCCCCAAAAACAAACGCATAACCACCAAGTACATGACTAAGTATGAACGAGCAAGAGTCCTAGGAACACGGGCCCTCCAAATAGCCATGTGTGCCCCAGTTATGGTGGAACTCGACGGAGAAACCGACCCCTTACAAATCGCCATGAAGGAACTCAAGCAGCGCAAAATCCCCATTATCATTAGGCGGTATTTACCTGACCACTCGTACGAAGACTGGGGGATAGACGAACTTATTATTATCGACCATTAAATAAGATACTTGTAATTGTATATATTTTATTAAAGTACACTGATTTTGTAGTTGTAGTATATGTTCTAAAACCTAAACCCCATGAATCATTTCTGTTTCACAACAAAAATAAGTGAGGTTAGAAATGCTTTTCGGTCACGTGTGTTAGGTACTTTTACGACTTTCTAGTTATTTTGGTTGTCAATTGTCTCAATCGACGTGTCAATTTAAAATGTCAAAAAATAAACAAACTCGTAAGGTTGATTAAATTACTAATTGCAATGTCGTTAGATAAGTCCAAGTTTGAATCAATGCAGAGAGATATTCAAAATGAGCTCGAGAAGCTTAAACTGGAAGAGGTAACCCTACTTTAATGTATTGGCAACTTGTAAATCATTACAATCATATTTGTAGGAAACCCTATTCCAAGATCTCGGTAACATGCTAAACCAAAGACTCTTCCTCGACAGTAAAGTAAAAGGACTGGCGAAACTCCTCCCTACACTAAAAGTTGTGAAACACGAAGCCCAAGACTTAGTAAGCACTATTAACGATATCTCAGAATCATCAGAGAAAATCAGCGGAAAAATAAGATCGCTGGATGCTGCTAGAGTAAGCTTAATCAAAATAAGGTTAATTTTTGTAAATAATGAATTCTAGAGTCACGTGAATGAATGTCAACAACGCGTTAGTGACCTTATTGACTTAGAAATCTGTTCACAAGGAGTACAAACGGCAATTTTGGACTCAGATTATGAGAAAGGGGCGGCACACGTGCACAGATTCCTCTCCATTGATCAGTCATTATTGCACAGAACCGCCACCGACATGGAAAATTTATCGGGCATGCAGAAGTCAGTGCGGACTCTACAGGATGCAGCAAGTCAGTTGCAGGCAATTGTCGAACATAAATTCAATGAAGCCGTTAATTGCGAGGATCTAGTTTCAATTGAGAGGTTTTTCAAAATATTTCCGTTGTTGGGGATGCATGAAGAGGGAATTAAAGCGTTGTGTACATACCTCAGGACAAAGGTGTTTAAAAAAACAAAATTTTCAAGATTGTATAAATTTATTTGTAGGTGGCTGCAACTGCTGAAAAAAATTTAAAATCTGCCATCACCACCCCTCTTTCTGATAAACGTCACAGTGTGATTTATGCAGACACTTTGACTTTGCTTTTTGAAGGTTTGGCACGGGTTGTGGACACCCATCAGCCCCTGATAGAGACGTATTACGGTCCTGGGAGGCTTCTTTGCGCCATTAATATTTTGCAGAAAGAGTGTGACATTCAAATGAAACGAGTATTAACAGAGTGGACCAGAACTAGACAAATCAATAAAAAAATTCAAATTATTACAGACTTGTCGCGAATGAGTTCTAGTTCCAGTTTTAGCAAACTTGAGAAAATTGATCCCAAAGATTTGGATATATTGATTGGAGAAATCACGCTAATGCACTTCAGGACTGAGCTATATTTCAGGTTTATTCAGCGCAAAGTTGTGGTAAGTATAACTGGTTGCATAACTTAAACATTAAGTCAGTAAGTTACAAATTTAACTACAGTCAGATTTGGAAGTCGGAGTTCAAGACCCAGACGAAAAAACCAAAGTACTCAAATCGTTAGAAAATTTGATTAAAAACAGCGACCTCACGCACTCAAAACATGAACTATTGTTACATTACCTGAAACTTGAACAATACTTCATGGAGGAGTCAGTGGCTAAAGCTGTCAGCATGGACAGCGTAGAGCCATCTCAACAAACCTCAAGCATGGTGGACGACACCTTCTTCATCGTCAAAAAATGCATACGGTAAACACGCGAAACAAATTATTTGAATTTGCGCGCGAATGGCGACATTCCTAATTGGTCAAATCGAAGCTCCGCCTTGACAGTGCGCCTAGACCAACCGCGCATCACCATATTCCCGCGCAAATTCAAACCAAATTCACCCAATTTAACCAAAACGAACCCGATTTTCATTGAAGGCGGTCCATATCAACGGGGAGTTTGGACGGGATCTGCGCCATAATAAATAATGCTTGTCGCGTCCTCGAAAACGACTTTTGTGACGTCCTCCGAGCGCGTCTGCGTCAGGGTTATCCCTCAGGCTATCTGGACTTAACTCAAGCTTACAACGTCTTGCAAACTTCGATCCAACAAGGGCGACTTCAAGCTAGTGATACCGAGCAAACGAGGACCGCTTTCTTGGTAATTTTTCACGATTTTTGTGACAATTCTAGTCTAAATGAAATTTTAAGGTGGCTTTAAACAACGCGGACAGTAGTACGGAATACGTGGACGCTCTATGCGACAGCGTGTTAAAAGAAATCGAGCAGGCTCTCCCCGCTATGAACAACAACGAGCGCGGCAAACTCGAAAGTTGTCTCTCAGGACTGTCTTCAGTCACCACAAACCTGAAAGAAATCATCGAGTACGGAATCCAGCAGTTGCGCGTTAGCGCAATTAAGCCGCGAATCAATCCTTGGGTGGACAATTTCACGAGTATCAACCACCAATTGACTGAGGTATTAAAACGCCATAATCTGAATTGAATGATTGCATTTATTGTCTAGGATGAGTTATCGGCGTACGAAGCTGGCGAATCTTTCGTCCAGACTTTAATAATGAACCTTGAAACCCTCTTGTCATTATTTAAAGATGTCCTAACGACTGCCAATTATGACGCTTTTATAGCGGTATTAACGACCGAAGTTACGCAGAGATTGGAAAAAGTAATCATGAAGTCTTCTTTTAACAGGGTATAATTATCGGTTTCATGGGTCATAAAATCGGCATGGTATTTTTAGCTGGGAGGTTTGGTACTGGACAAAGAAGTGCGTTCGTTGGCGGGTTACATCACCGCGACCACTTCATGGTCGGTTAGGGATAAGTTTGCGAGATTGACGCAGATCGCCACGGTGTTAAACCTGGAACAAGTGGCGGAGTTTTATGATTATTGGGGCGACCATGATGGGGCGTTGACGTGGAGGTTGACCCCGTCGGAAGTGAGGACGATTATGGCGCTGAGGTATGTCTGCCACGGATGGAACAGTCTGATCATATTGTCTTTACAGGTCGGACTTCAAAGTCGAGGAAATAAAAAGGCTGAAGCTGTAATTTAGCGACAAATAAAACTACGTGTGTTAACTTTTGGTGTTATTTCTTTATGTAGTATTTACACAACCTTTTGACAACAATATACATTGCATAAATTGTGCTCGACTTAACAAATTCTATGTTTTATATATTAACCGGGACGGAGAGTCTGTTTCACATCGTTCATTGAGGCATCACGAGATGTAAAGTTGGAAAAAAACACCAAATTATCAAATTTTGACTTCACTAATACAAGATGATTTGCATTGAAGCATCTTTTATCACAGAACATCGTCAATCAATTGTTAATAGCAAGTTTACAAAAAAATCAGAGAATAAAACTACTAAAAAAAGAGACAGTCTCGTAAACCTATCAAGGCCACTTTCCAATAAAAAAAAGTCCAAACTGTCGCACGAAACACTAAATAAATATACACAAAATATTGTTCATCTTAGTTGTTCATAAAAGAAGGCAACCTAACGGTTTGATTTCAAGTAAGCGTATTAACTACTACTTAGTTACTTAACGTTATCCTAGTTTACATAGTTTTATATAAAAGACAAAAGCATTTTTGGCTTGACTTTGATACATGGGTTTAGGATATAGGCAAATAAATAAATAAAATCTGTTAGGTTATTACAGGGAAAATAATTTACGTACAATTTCCTACTCTGGAGTCTCCTAAATATAAATAATGGAACGCGTCCACTCGGCATAGAGAGAGATAGAGATAGAGAGAGAAGTGATTAAAATTACATTCCTTGTTTATACAACAACTCATAAAAATGGATTATTGGAGTTCATATTTGCAGTTGCGCCGACCTAAAGAAGAAACGAGAAGTTAGCGCTGCAAAAACCAAACAGTTAAGTGTCTACCTTGAACGGGTTTGCCGCCCATGTCGATCCATTAGCGGCTACCGGAAACAAAGTGGGCTGGTAATTCTGGGCAAATCCGTTGACCCTCACAGGTTCACGGAACGGATTAGCGAAAGCCTGCCCGAAATTATTCCCATTACTGCCCCAATTCAAGCCGTTACTACTGCTATTGAACGGATTCGAGAATGCGTTGTCTTGACTTTGGAACGCGTTCATGAACTGACCTGAAAACTTTATTAGTTATATTGTTCAAGTGACAGAAGTACGAACCTTGACTAGGTGAACCGAACATGGAGCTTTGAGGCGACGGCGAACTGTACACGGACCCAGAAGGCGTCGGGGAACTATACAATGACCCATTTGACCCGGAAGAATTCCAGTCCACCGCGTTGTGCTCCGTCCGGCTCTGCTTCAAAGCGTTGTCCAAGTCTTTTAAAGCGGCGTATTTGTCTTCAGGTGGCGCTGCAGGTACTTTGTTGGTATTGTTTGATTGTGCTAGAGTAAAATTGTCGAAAGCATTCGGCGTTGGCATACCTAAACAAACACCATCGTCACAATTGTATCCCAACGAACTCAAACTCGAAAAGCGCAAAATAAAACAACTACATAAATAAAAGAGACAGTGCTGGTACTTTACTAAAAACAAAAATGACTACTCGAAAATAAATAAAAAAGAGAGAGAAAAATGCAACGCAACTGCACTACATCGTCACACCAACACTTACTCCATCTATTTATATTGCACTTGGGAAATAGAGGCACTTGGTTTAAGACTGGACCGGAATTGGTGAATTTCAAATCAAATATACTGAATTCATCTGCTGGAAGGAAAAGCATTCCGATGTAACACACAAGTGAGACATGGAAGGAAAAAAAAATACATTGAAAGCACTTTGGCAGTCCACAGGCCAAACAACGAGACATGGTGACATTGGAAAAACACACATCAAAATTCTCTCAAACCTAACACAAATTAATAAACATGCTTTCTCTTTTCCCGCAATTCGTGAAGCACGTTCTTAACGCGAACAATTAGTCGAACACGGTCCGGCATAAATTTAGTCGAATCATGAAAATTTCATGTGTCTGATGCGGAACACGCGCTCGGTACTTGTCAACGTTTCCCGTTTTACGCAATTGAATACACAGTTCACGTCTGTGCTTTTTACCGGTAAAATCGATCAATGGCTGAGGACAAAAATGCAGACGCATTTTTACGAGTGGTGTGAGTGTCCAGACTTGTTTTTATTACCGTGAGGTGATTTTTTAATAGCGACAAAATTCAGTCACGAAAGCTTCGCAAATTCACTTTGAAGGGCGAATTTCGTACTTCGTTCTTATAATTCGATTACAACGCATTAGTGACTTAAATCAATAACCGGCGCTGACTGAATTTAGTTTTTGTATTATTATTCCGACGAAAGTCGCCTGTTAGGCACTTGGAAAGAAAATGCTGAAAGCTGAATTGGAAAAGACGGCGTCCGGCAAATTCAGTTATTCGTTTTCAGTGTTTGAAGTGTGGCCCGAATTGCTGAATTGAGAACGGACTTAAACATTTTCTCGTATTTTGAACTTTGAAATGAGTCAGCAAACCGAGTTAGTAATTATAATTTAGTTCTGTTAATCGATAATTCAACAACAAATTGTTTGCTATATTCTAGAATGATTAAACATCGTAAACAAGCAAGCATTAATGGTGTGTAAATAGTAAACAAGTAGACTTACATATATTTCTGAAGCTGCCAACTGCAATTAAACAATACATACGATATTAAAAGTACAACGATTTTTAACAAGAATTTTTACAATAAATATGCTACTCATCATTGCACCCACAACACCTCGATAGATAAATAATACTAGGAGATAATTATAATTTAGTAAACCCATGTGGTTTTTCAACGATATGTTTGATAGATTCTCGATACAAACCTACTCATAATTAAAAGAAAGTCAAACAGTATAAATGCATGGCATCTCATGAATGTCATGAATATTCACAGATTTATTACGTACAATTATAGAAACCTGTCTGTTGCCAACAAGTATTTAATAAAGCATTAAAATCTCCAATTTCGTACGTGGAAAGTAATGTAAGTATATTAATAGGTTGGCAATAAATGACAGGCAATAACGTCGAAAATATTGTAGCGGTTTCTACATCCGACTTTAGCCAATTTCGTTTAACAGTGAAGAAAACTGTTCTATTCGAGGCACTTCACATCTGGGTGAGGTAATAAATAAGGGACCGGATAGAGGAAAGAATGGTAAACGACGTAGAGATGTATCTTTGTACTTTATTTTTGTGCATAAATCTTGGTAACTTTTTTAACAAGGAGTGTTTTATGTCGTCATGATGGCACCGTTTACGTAATACACGATATGTCACTACTGCCACACTAAGAACGCAAAAGTTACTGGTGGCTTTGTCTATGCCATTAGTCGTATCTGTGTACATTCAATTCGAAACTCGGCCAATAACAACTACACCATAAATTCCAGTCTCTTCACATCGAAGTATTTATTTGCAGTTCCAAAATTTACTACAGTGAGATGGGAAAAAAGACAAAATTTGCCATGAACGAAAAACTAGAGACCTCCTGTTGTTTTTTTTTAATTTTTTAACGATCAACACTTCGAAAAACGACATCATCCGATATATTCATCTGTCGATTCTACATAGATGTAGAAATCGGCGTGAAAATCTACCAATGCGACTAAAAAACTTCAAGAAATCGAGTATTGGACACGGAAATCCAGTATCTGATCCCGTTTCTGAATTACGGGCCGTCAAATTTGAAATCCGTTTTTTGAATTTGGGTGTTGAAAGTTAAAACATAAAAAAATCAGGAGGTTTCGGGGAATCTTTTAGGCCCGGATTCATCTTTGGGAGGTTTAAATTAATAAATGCAGCGATTGGATTTGTTGGATGATTGTTTTCTTTACTAATAAGAACCTCCTGAATAAGATTCCGGGTCCAAAAGATGTCTTCCGCATCTCCTAAATTTTTTGAATGTTTTAACGGTCAACATTTCCGAAAAACGACAACGTCAAAAATCGTCTGTCGATTCTAAACAGGTGTAAAATTCGGCCCCAAAATCAATCAAGGCGACTAGAAAACTTCAAAAAATCGAATGGTGAAAACGGAAATCCGGTATCTGATCTCGTTCCGGAATTGCGGGTCGTCAAATTTGAAATTTGATTTCTGAATTAGCCATCGACAGCTAAATAACAATAAAAAAAAAACATCTTTTAAGCCCTGATTCTTCTTCAGGAGGTTCGAATTAGTACAGAGAGTAATTTAGCCAGATTGAGATTTTTTTAAATGGACTCTAATTTGTTGGATTTTTCACTAATTAGAATCTTCTGAACAAGACTCAAAGCCCAAAAAATGTCTCCAGGGCCTCGTGGATTTTTTTTTTGAATTTTTCAATAATCAACACTTTCAAAAAATGACACCATAATTAGATATATTCATCTGCCGATTCTAAACGGGTGTAAAATTCGGCTTGAAAATCAATACTCCGACTAAAAAACTTCAAGAAATCGCATAGTGAAAGCAGAAATATGGTGTCTGCTCGCGTTCCGGAATTACGGGCCGTCAAAGTTGAGATTTGTTTATTTGGATGTGGGTGTCGATTACCGAAAAATTAAAAGAAAAATCAGGGGGTTTCGGAGACATCTTTTAAGTCCACATTCTTTTGCAAAATGTTGAAATTAGTAAAGATAACAATTTTCAGACAGATCGAGAATTTTTTTTAACTTAATTTTTTCCATTCTATCAAATTTTTTAGAATTAGACTATGTGAAGCTATCTTGCTTAAATGAACTCCGATTTGTTGGAAAATAATTGTTTTCTTTACTAATTAGAACCTCCTGAACAAGACTCCGGACCCAAAAGATGTCTTCAAGGGTGCCTGAATTGTTTTGGATTTTTTTTTAACAATCAACACTTTCGAAAAACGACACCATCCGATATATTCATCTGTCAATTCTAAACGAGTGCAAAATTCGGCCTAAAAATCAACCAGTGCGGTTAAAAAACTTCCAAGAAATCGAAAGGTGAAAAGAAAAATCTAATATCTGATCCTGTTCCGGAATTACGGGCCGTCAAATTTGAAATTTGTTTTTTTGCATGAGTGTCAATTGACAAAAAAAAATTCAAAAAAAATTCTGGGGTTTCTGCCCTGAAAATCACCCACTGCGGTTAAAAAACTTCAAGAAATCGAACGGTGAAAAGAAAAATCTAGTATCTGATCCCGTTGAGGAATTACGGTCCGTCAAATTTGTTTTTTCTGGATTGCCAAAAAATTAAAACAAATTCTAGGGGGGTTTCGGAGACTTGTTTTAAGGGCAGATTCTTCTTCAGGAGGTTCAAATTAGTAAAGGTACCAATTTTCCGACAGGTCAAGAAATTTTGTTTTCACTTAAGTTTTTCGAAGGGTTGGTATTTTTGGATTTGGATCACGTCAAGATATTTTGGTTAAACGGACTCCAATTTGCCGGATAATTGTCTTATTAACTAATTAGAACCCCCTGAACAAGACACCGAGCCCAAAAATGTCTTCAGGATCTGATTTTTTTTTTAATTTTTTAACGGTCGACACTTTCGAAAAACGACACTGTCTGATATATAAATTTGTCGCTTCTAAGCAGATGTAGAGATCGACCTGAAAATCATCCAATGTGACTAAAAAACTTCAGAAAATCGAACGGTAAAAACAGAAATCGGGTATCTGATCCCGTTCCGAAGTTATGGGTTGTCAAAGTTGAAATTTGTTTTTTGGATATGGGTGTCGATTGTCAAAAATATTTAAAGGAAAATCGGGGGTTCCGGAGACATCTTTTAAGCCCGGATTCTTCTTCAGGAGGTCCAAATTAGTAAAGGCAGCAATTTTCAGACAGATCCAGCGATTTTTTTTAATTGATTTTTTCGAATGAGTAAAATTTTTCGGATTTGACCATATTACCATACTATTTCACCTAAACGGGTTCCGATTTGTGTGAAAATTGCGCTCTCCATTAATTTGAACCTCCTAAATGATTCTGGATCCAAAAGATGTCTTCTGAAATCCCATGAATTTTTTTTGAATTTTTTAACGATTCCATTTCCGAAAAATGACACCATTCGATATATACATTTGTCAATTCTAAACGGGTGTCGAATTCGGCCTGAAAATCTACCAACGCGACTAACAAACTGCAAGAAATCGAATGGTGGAAACAGAAATCCAGTATCTGATCCCGTACCGGAGATATGGGCCGTCAAAGTTGAAATTTGTTTTTTTGATTAATTCATTAATTTAAAAAAATATCGGGGGTTTCGGAGACATCTTTTAAGATCAGATTCTTCTTCAGGAGGTTCAAATTAGTAAAGGCAGCAATTTGCAGACAGATCGGAAATTTTTTTTGACTTAATTTTTTCGAAGGCTGAGGTATCTTTGGACTTGGATCAAATCAAGCCATTTTGCTTAAACGGACTCCAATTTGTCTGATAATTGTCTTCTTAACTAATTAGAACCTCCGCAACAGGATTCTGAGCCCAAAAGATGTCTTCAGGACCTCCTAAATTTTTGTTTAATTTTTTAACGGTCGAAGTTTGAGAAAAACAGCACCGTCCGATATATTCACCTACCGATTCTAAACAAGTATTGAATTCGGCCTGAAAATCAACCAATGCGACTAAAAAGCTTCAAGAAATAGAACGGTGAAAACAGAAATCCGATATCTGATCCCGTTCCGAAGTTATGGCTCGTCAAAATAGAAATTTGTTTTTTGAATATGGGGAAGATAGCTAAAAAAAAAAAAATCCAAAAAAAATCAGGGGTTTTTGGAGAAATCTTCTAACGCCGGATGCTTCTTCAGGGGGTTCAAATCATTTTCAGACAGATCGAGATTAAAAAAAAAAAATTTCGAATGGGTTAAATAATTCGGATTTAGACCATGTCACGCTATCTCGCTTAAATGGACTGAGATTTGTTGGATAATTGTTTTTTTTTTATTAATTAGAATCTCCTGAACAAGATTTTGGGTCCATCCAGGTATTCAGGATTTCCTGGATTTTTCGGAATTTTTTACCGAACAACACTTCCGAAAAACGGACACCATTTCATCACCAGTCACCATTCATATAAAAATATTTTAATAATAATAAAAAAAAAAGGTTTCGGACACGTCTTTTACGGCCGGATTCTTCTTCAGGAGATTCAAATTAGTAGTAAAAACAGCAATTTTCAGACAGGGAGAATTTTTTTTATTCACTTTTTCGAACGAGTCAAATTTTTCAGATTTAGAGCATTTCAAGCTATTTCGCTTAAACGTACTCCGATTTATTGGATAATTATTTTCTTTACTAAGTAGAACCTCTTGAACAAGATTTCGGGCCTAAAAGATGTCTTCAGGACCTCGTGATTTTTTTTTTTCAATTTTTTAACTATCAACACTTCCGAAAACCAACACCGTCCGATATATTCTTCTGTCGATTTTAAACAGGTGTAGAAATCGGCCCGAAAATCATCCAATGTGATTAAAAGACTTCAGAAAATCACACGGTGAAAACAGAAATCCGGTATCTGATCGCATTTCGGAATTACGGGCCGTCAAAGTTGAAATTTGTTTTTTTGGATGTCGGTGTAGGCTACTGAAAAAAATTAAAAAAAAAAAAAAAATCAGATGGTTTGGGAGACATCTTGAAAGTCCAGGATCTTCTTCAAGGGGTTCAAATTAGTAAAGGCAGCAATTTTCAGACAGATCGAGAATTTTTTATCTTATTTTTTTCGAATGTTTCAGATTGTCGGTTCTAAACAGATCTAGAGTTCGACTGTAAATCAATCAACTCAACTAAAAGTCTTCAAGAAATTGAATGGTGAAAACAGAAATCCGGTATCTCATTCGGTTTCGGAGTCAGGAGTCGTCAAAGTTGAAATTTGTTTTTTAAATATGGATGGGTGTCTATAGCTAAAAAATAATTAAAAAAAAACATGAGGTTTCGGAGACATCTCTTAAGCGCAGATTCTTCTTTAGGAGGTTCAAATTAGTAAAGGGAGCAATTTTCAGACAAATCAAAAAACCTTTTTTTTGACTTAATTTTTTCGAAAGGTGATCTTTCGGATTTAGGAAAACCGGAATCCACTACCTTATCGCGTTTCGGAGTTAATGGATTAAATGGAGGGTGTTATAGAATTTTTTGCTTTGTAGATGCTACGAAACATCTACAAACATGAAATTAGCCATTCGTCAAACTACAATACTTCCCAAGTTTCTACTTGAGAAGTAAAAATGGCCACTTTCAAACTATTTTCTTATTTTTACTATTAGAGCGTAAACTAAGAACCCTAGAGTACTATAAAATAGATTTCTCGTTTTGGTCTGTCTGTCGTCTGTGTCGGTTTTTCTTAAGACAGATAATCTTCGAAACTTCCGAATCAATTCTTGTCAAATTTTAGCTGTGTTAGGAATATCGTAGATGATAAAACGCTAACTAAATTTTTATGACGTCGTTTCAAAATTTGCGTAGTAAATACTACTTAAGTTTTATAAAATAACATACTCCTGTATTTTTTAATGTGGGCTTTCTATTTTTAAACTCAATGACTTTTCTATCAATTGCTTAATTGGTCTATTATGAAGAAAAATGTGTTTTTTAAGAAAAAAAAAATCAAATTTTAAATAAAAGGGGTCGAAAGATATAGAAAATTTATTATAAAATGCGATTAAAATATTGTTTTTAGAAGAGACAACTTCTAAATATTTTTTTGTATATTTTTTTGCTCTACTAATTTTTAATTTCTCAGTTTTCATTGACACTGGTTGAAAAATCCAAACTAGGTACTTAAATCTGCGCCAAACTATATCCAAAAATTATTATCAATAAGACCATGATAACAATTGGACTACATTGAATACAAATACTTAATCCTAGAATTTATTGAACCTGGACAAGAATTTTTAGTTTCGTAGAACAAAAAGTATAAAAATAAAAGATTGCCCAAACGCTCATAGTATTGTATTCGACCTAGATTTTCAGCAACAAATCTATCTCATCATTAAGCCTTCTTTTTCCCGCATTGTCATCTCCAAACATAACTGACGCCCATAAAATAAAATTTAAGACATCCTGTATAAATAATAGTCCATTAAGTTCCATCACTACCGAAATAAAACTCTAAATCAGCACGCGTGACAAAAAACTTTTCTGATCGCATTTTGCCAAAATGGGCGTCCTCTACTTGTCACAATTTACACAAAAAAAATCCACCGGCTTCTCCCAATAAAACCCGCTCGATTTCCGCACGATTTATGGAACCTTCAAAGGCCTTTTCATTACGTACCCGCACAATAAAACCTCATCCTTCCCAGAGCGCCGCTTTGCACCGCTTTTGATGTGTGTTGTGGAAAATTCGAGATTGGAAAACGCGATAAGTTCGACTCGAACACACAAAGCTACTTATTGTGAACCCCACCGCCATGCGAAAGGCCCCCGAGACCCGTAAATACTCACTCGAATTGTTCGTATTGCTGAAAACCGGATTATCGTCGAAATTCGCAAAGGACTCCTGCGTCGTCTTCGTCGTCGTGTTGTTGTTCGATGTGAAAATATCAGCGTTATCAAAGTTCACAGCGAACGACGTATTCTTGCCAGCCTCCGGCCGCTTCCTGTTTAATTCTGTCGTGCTTCCGTTCAGCTTAATCGGCTTTGGATCGGATATGAGCGTGCTCAAAGGCTTGACTTTCGACGTTTCTGGGGTCTTGTATCCGTTCTTGAGGGCCTGGGCCGGGTCGAGGTAATACCTTTTCCTTTCGTACTTGTCCACCATGAAGTCCTTCACCGACTGCTCGTCCCGGAACTCCGGGCCGGGGGAAGCGCCTTCGTACAGGCCCAACCAGACGCTCCTGCAGTAGTCGTTCCCTCGGCTTTTCAGCATGTCGATTTCTTCCGTCGTGAACGTGGCCATGGAGATGGATTTGACGCGGTGTGGCGGCGTTAAACCTCGTCTGAAAGCGCAAAAAATGGATTTAATAAAGCGCTCCGGAAAAATTCATAATCCGGTCGACCGGATAATTGATAATTAACGTTGAAGTACTTGGGGGTTTTTTGCGTTTGTACGTTGCCGCACTACCTGTCATTCAAGATGGGTCAACAATTTTCCACGCGTAATTGTTTAGTGTATGAAAAAGCTCATCTGAATATCGACAAGGCTGACTCTTAATAAACCGAAAAAACCTACCAGACGATAATTAACGAAATTTTAGAATAGTCTATTAATTAAGACTAAAATAAGGATTTTTAATAAAATAGCGAGCTTAATGGCTGAGACCATGAATTTTTAAATCTGCGTCGTCAATGTTCACTTAATTGCAGTTACAGGATTCTATTTTATATTGAGATTTTTTACGAATTTTTGTTACAAATTTTGCACACAATTTAAGAAGAATTCACTTCGTTGCTTAACTTGTGACAAACAAGTGTGAAATAGAAAATAGATGTGAACTTAAATTATGAACTGAAATACTGAATATTGGCAGTCATGGTGACAGTGTTCAAGGCAATGAAAGTGTACTTCCCACCCCCAACAGATACGATCGAGCTGAATCATCCTCACATACACTATCCTGGACAACGCACAAGTTTCCAATTCCCCTAGAGTGAAAATACTTGAGAAGAACGCACCGATAAAAGGTCGAGTTATTAACTTCAGTTATACAGAGTGTTCTATTTTTTGACGCACAACATATACCTGAAGTCTTTTTAAGTAGAACACTACACATTTGTACGTTTCTTAGAATTTACAAGAAATATTTTTGAAATTCTAATGCGACTTAAGAAAGTTACTGAAGTTTTCTTTAAATTTTCTAAAAATGCGAAGATTCGCAAAAAAATGGTATTAGGATTATTATTTCCCGAGCGTAAGCTAAAGAAGTATTGTGATATGGTCCAGCCGGCGAATAGCTACTTTAATGTTTTTTGACGCTTATGATATCAAAAGTATGAAATAATAGGACCTGTGTGTCGAATTTTAGTAGACAGATGATCTCCGAAAGTACTGGACCGATGAATATCGTGTAGATGGTAAAATACTAATCAAAATTTTACATAGTAAATGTTTTTTGCTTTTTATAAAATTATATACTCCTACACTTGTGGTTTATGAATCTGCCTTCAGTTTTTTACTCTAGAGATGCAGATTTTCTCAAAAAAATCCAAAGCGAGCGGATTTCATCAGTTCGATCCCCTCTTGGGTCACATTTTATTTATTTTACTGTGATTGCTATTATTGGTATTGTTGGTATTATTTTCCGAACGCAAGCTAGACTATGAAAAGTAGGTCCATCGTTGCTGTCCGTCCGTCTGGCTTTCTGTCTTGACTTTTATTACGCAGATAATTTCCGAAACTACCGGGTTGATTAGCAAATTTTATATGTATTTTTGAAATATCGTGTAGATACTAAAACACCGACCAAAATTCGTTTGATCATCCCCACCAACAATTTGATGACGTCACCACAAAAATTTGTACATAAGTGAATGTTATTTAAATTTCCTAAAATAGCAAACTTTTATTCTTGATTTACTTTGGTCTTTGTGTCAGTTTTGTGGTTTTTATAGTTTTTTCGCATTTTTCTCATATATTTTCTGTGTTTTTTCCCTTTTTCTTACTGTCCTTTTTTGTTGTATTCTTTGACATCTTTTTTGACTCTCGTCTGTTAGTCGGACTTTTTGTGACCTTTCTATAGCTTTTTTTGACTCCACTTTTTTATCACACTTTTTGTGTCCTCTTTTACCGTCTTTTTTTAGGTCATTTTTGTTACTTTTGTAGTTTTTTTGTTGCTTTTTGTGGGCGCTCTGTTGAGTTTTTTGGTTTATTTTTGCAGCCCATTTGTCGACTTTTTTGTCGCCTGTTGTAGCGTTTTTTTGACGTCTTTTATTATTTTTTTACTCATTTTCGCATTTTTTTTAAATATTTTCTGTGTGTTTTTCCCTGTATCTTACTGTCTTTTTTTGTTGTATTCTTGGAAAACCTTTTTTCACTCCATTCTGTTAGTTGGATTTTTGTGACCTTTTTATACCCTTTTTTGACTCGTCTCTTTTATCTCTTATCGTTTTTTTTTGTCATTTTTGTCACTTTTTAGTTTTTGTTTCCACATTTTCGCATTTTTTTTTTTTTAATATTTTCTGTATTGTTTCCTTTTTCTTATTGTCTTTTTTTTGTTGTATTCTTTGAAACCTTTTTTGACTCCCTTCTGTTAATTCGATTTTTGTGACCTTTTTTAAGCTTTTTTTGAGTCCTTTCTTTTGATCACACTTTTTGTGTTCTTTTTTGTTTGGTAATTTTTTTAATTTTAATTTTTTTTTAATTGCTTTTTGTGGATTTTCTGTTGCATTTTTTTGGCCTGTTTTTGTAGCCTATTTGTGGACTTTTTTGTCGCCTCTTGTAGCGCTTTTCGTCTTTTTTTGACTGCTTTCCCCTTATTTTTTCCCAATTTTCAGATTTTTTTTAAATATTTTCCGTGTGTTTTTTCCTCTTTCTTACTGTCTTTTTTTGTTGTATTCTTTGGAATGTTTTTGACTCCCTTCTGTAAGTTTGATTTTCGTGTCCTTTTTATCGCCTTTTTGTGGTCATTTTTGCCACCTTTTAGGTTTTTTTTGTTTTTTGTGGACTTTCTGTTGCGTTTTTCGGACTGTTTTTGTAGCGGTTTTTGTGACCTTTTTTTTTTGACTACTTTTATTATTTTTTTCCACATTCTCTCATTTTTTTGAAATATTTTCTGTGTTTTTTCCTCCTTTTTGTTGTATTCTTTGAAACCTTTTTTGACCCCGTTCTGTTATATTTTTATGACCTTTTTTAGCCTTTTTTGGTCATTTTTTTAGGTTTTTTTTGTTGTTTTTTGTGAACTTTCTGTTGCATTTTTTGACCTGTTTTTGTAGCCTATTTGTCGACTTTTTTGTCGCCTTTTCTAGCGATTTTTTGTCCCCTTTTTTTTGACTCCTTCCCTTATTTTTTCCCCATTTTCGGATTTTTTTTTGAAATATTTTCTGTGTGTTTTTTCCTCTTTCTTACTATCTTTATTTGTTCTATTCTTTGAAATCTTTTTTGATTCCCTTCTGTTAGTTGGATTTTTGTGACCTTTTCATAGCCTTTTTTGACTCCTCTCTTTTATCACAATTTTTTTTTGTGTCCTTTTTATCGCCTTTTTTGGTCATTTTTGTCACTTTTTAGTCTTTTGTAGTCTATTTGCAGACTTTTTTGTCGTCTTTTATAGCGGTTTTTGGCGACCTTTTTTGACTATTTTAATTATTTCTTTCCCCGTTTTCGATTTTTTTAAATAGTTTCTGTGTTTTTTCCTCTTTCTTATTGTCTGTCTTTATTGTATTCTTTGAAATCTTTTTTGACTCCCTTCTGTTAGTTGGATTTTTGTGACTTCTTTATAGCCTTTTTTGACTCCCGTCATTTATCACACTTTTTGTGTCCCTTTTTATCGCCTTTTTTGTTCATTTTTGTCACTTTTTAGATTTTTTGGCTTGTTTTTGTAGCCCATTTGTCGGCTTTTTGACTCCTTTCTTTTAATCGCATTTTTTTGTCGCGTTTTATCGTCCCTTTTTTTTTTGGTCATATGTTGTGATGGCCTTTTTCTCTTTTTTTTTTAATTTTTGTCCTTTTTTTCACATTTTTTTTATATTTTTGTGGGCTTTCTCCTTTTTTTTGTTGTTGCAATTTTTGTAACCTTTTTGACTCTTTTCTGTTCGTAGCATTTTCTTGTGACCTATTTTCTGTTGTCTTTTTTGTGACCTTTTTTTGACTCCACTTTTTCAGTCGCATTTTTGTGGAGTTTTCTTACTCCTGTTTTATTACCCTTTTTTGGTCATTTTTTGTTGGTTTCGTACGTTTTTTGCTTTTTTGTGGTTTTTCTGTTCCATATTTTGACCTTTTTTATCGTCTTTTTTATCACTTTTTTGTGGACTTCGTAGTTTTTTGTGACCTTTCTTGTAGCATTTTTAAACGATTTTTTTCTGAGGTTTTTCTCTTTTTTCTTCATTGACTTCTTTTTTTGTTGCATTTTTTGTGGTGTTTTCTTGTATAGCTTTTTTTGTCATTTTTTTGTGGCCCTTTTTGCACTTTTATTCCTCCTTTTCTTTTGCCTTGGTGAAAAATTGATATCTACATTTTTAATAAAAATTCACTGAGACACACACATAGCATACTTTTTTATCCATGATTTAACAATCCACACCTGTTTTTAGTTTTCGGAGTCATTATAAAAAAAAAAACAAATTCGAAAAACCAACTTTTATAATTTATCCAAGAAATTTGATTAGTTTGATTATACTTGAGGGACCAGTCACAGTGTAAGAAAAAATAAAGTGGCCATGGGAGGATTGAACACGGGACAAAATCATAGCCGCACCTTCGTGTTATCAGTACAATGCTAATTAGTATAAGAGATTGTTATATAATTTGGTGTTTTCCACGAAAATCTGGATGGCTAGGGTACAAAATCAAGGCGGATTCATAAACCACACGTACAGGAGTATTATTTTTTAAATTTGAATAGCACTGTATATGCCATTAAACACGCGTTGTTGGATATCCCAATATCAGAGACAGAAAAAAAAAGGTAAAACCAAAATTGTAGATAGTATCCATTAAAATTATTTTTAACTATACGGTGTGCTCTATTTTTAAAATGTAACAAGCCACTTCTTTTTTATTTTCTAGAATACCCTACATATTTTTACAATAGTCTGATTAGCCTATTCTTATTACTTATCTCAAACTACTTTGAAACGTTGCCACTTTATTAATTTTTTTAAGCAATAAGGGTTCTCAAAAGATAGTGTTATTTTTGACATCTATGCTTCAACAGATGTACACGCTATATAGAAAACTAGATATTAATATACAATGTGCATAATTTTGACTTTTTAATAAACCCTCTGTATAGTAAGACTTAATCGACATTTCAAAAATAAATACTAGCTGATTAGAGTATGTAAA